TTTTGAATATAAGCTTTCTAGGAGCCAACATGAAATTGCATAAATTTAATAGTCCATTGTATCAATAAATGAGAGCCAGTCGTCTTGTTTGAGAGAAACAAAAATTCTTAAAGTTAAAATCCAATAGCATTCTCCACCCCCTCACCCAGGAACAGCATATGATCTTAAAAAAAACCAACCAAACAAAAACCAAAAACCACATCCTCAGGAATTCGGTCAAAATAATTATTTGAGAATTTTCACAATGAAGTCCAGCTGAGGATGGATTGGTCTAGGAAGGGTACTGAGTATCAAAGAATGGAAGGAAAATGTGTCCTTAAGACAGTCCCAGACAATTCTTCCTCCCAGCTAAGCAGGCAGCCGTGGCTAGGGACTGGGGGCTGCGCTAAGTACTTAAACTGCAGCTGTTTACCCAGAGCTGATCTGGGTGACAATTGAACAGCATTTATTAAAACTGAGAATCACAGATGCTAGAGTTGTGGCTTCTCAAGTTACAAATAATGCGTTGTCACGATCTATCTATGATGAAAGTTACTCTGATTTTTCATTTCTCACTATTTAATGTGACATCCATCACTGGCAGGATGAAGCCACAGCTTCTGATTGTTGGCGGCCACCACTTAAATTATTGCTCTTGTTCTTCTTAAATCAGACTTTGCCAGTAGAGGAGAATGGCATAGCACTTGCTTTCTGGATTCAAGAGCTTTAAAGAATAAAAAAGACAAACAGGCAAATGAAGGCTGTTTTAATTTTGTGCTCAAGATAACCCATGCTCCTCTAAAGATTAGCTTAACTTTGCTAATTTGATAAGTTCTGATTTCAGAACTATTCTTGCCTCACTTTTTAAGGTCTCATTTCTGGAGCTTTTTGTGGTATAGAATAAATTGTGTCCACTGGACCCTGATAGTCGTTTTCACTCAGCTGTTTTTATTGCTTTATCATGGTTCTAAATTAGTTCTAAATATGCTGAATCCAAAGGAAACAATATTCCACCCAAAATGTAAGTGATCTAAGATCGAAAAAGTGAGTCATAAAATCATATTACACTCTACATCTAAACATCAGAACCCCCAGCAGAAGTAGTATATGTCTTTAATGGAGTATTTCTGTTGTCTGAGTATGTTAGTAAAAGTTTGATTTAACTTTTTGCTTAAACATTTTCTCTGAGTATACATGGTATTTTTTCCTCTCTTCTGTTTTTGTTAAATAGAAAGCATGAAAAACTATGGTCATCTTAGTGAGAAGCAGGACTTTGGAAGGTTATCACACTATTTGAAATTACAGCAGCAAAGAGAATGGATAATAACGAAAGGTATAGGCAAAACAGCACATGAGCCAAAGCCCACAATTTGATAGTTGCTGTTTCCTATTAGTATAATTCCAAAGACCCATTTGGCCATGTACTAAAAGCAAACTCAATAAATGTTCACATTGTCCTAGTTTTGAAGCTCCAATTGCCAATCCCATGATGACATCATTTAGTTGTCATTTATTCATTTGGAACATCTGTTCTGAGCTACATATCAAGCATAGTACAGTTTATGTATATGGGTTTCATAGTTAAAACCAGGAAAAAAGCTATGGCTACTGCCCTCATAAGTCTTTTCTTCTATGAGACTCCATATATGATTATTTAATTCTCTAAAAATTTTGGAAACCATCCATTATTAAATAAAGTTATAATCTTATAGGTTTTTTTTAATAACCATCAGTCAGTTCTGCATAAACATGACTAATGTGCAGCTAGTTGAAGTGGAGAATGAGACTCTTGGGGATGGTTTTGTTTTTCTTTAATCTGAGTTGTTCTGTTTGTGTTGCAAACACAAATTATCCGCCCTCCATGTTTCACCCCTTTCATCTTTGTTCCCATAGTTATCCAATTGAATCTTCTAGTTTTCAGACTTGTTTTTTGCTAGGAAGATTGAGATTCTTTATCACCTTGTAGAAAAAAGCCAAGTAACTGGGTTCTTGGATGTGAAAGTCTGGGAAAGTTCTTCAGAACTTCAGGTTGCCTAATTTAAAATATCTTCTCATGTCCATTTTGGAGATGAACTATTTTTCCTCAAGGATCAAGGGGCAGTTATAATTTATCATTCTTATTTAAATACTTTTCCTCAAGTCGTTCAAGAACCAACTTTTTTCTTCAGGTGTATCTAAACTCCCCACCGCCCCTTTTACCAGTTTAGTTAGGATAAGCGCTGATAATTCTTGGTTGTTCCTGACAATCAGAACTTTTTGCCTAGGAGGAAATTCAAATTGTGGAGCTGCTCTTGTTTTTCTTAACCTTCCCTTAATAGCTGAGAATAATTTAATGACTAAAATGCTGGTGGAAGACATAAGGGTGTTTATCTAAGACTCTTAGACAGATAAAGCAGAGTATGTTGTTGGAAGGAAACACCATTTTAAAAAGGCACTGTCAAAATTGTAATTCAGTGTCCGTGAGTAACATTTTTAAAAGGTCTGTCTCTCATGCACTGTGGGAGTGCATGCCGTGGGAGACTGAGGCAGCAGGATCTCGAGTTCCAGGCCAGCTTGGGCTACATAGCAAGACCTGTTTCAAACAACAACAATAATTTTCTAATCTGCTCAGAAAAGCTAATATGCTATAAATTTTAAGTGCTTTTTTTCTTTCCTTGTAACCTATCATTTAATTGACTGATATCATCCTGGTTTAGTTTTCAAGACTTTTTTTTAATGGATAAAATTTCCCTGTGGCAAAATTAAATTACCTGCCAATAAGAATTCTTCAGGATAGGGCATAGGGAAGGAATTAATCCTGCAGAGTTCTGAAGAGAGAGCCATCAGCTCAGTCTCACAAAGAATAAATTCAGCAAAGAGGTTGACCTGGTGGCCCCTCTTAATGAAGTATAACTTTCTGCTTCTTGAGCAGTGTTTCTATTGGCTTAGTTACTTTTTCAAATGAGCCTCATCATCACTTCTGAAAAATTCATCATTATTAAAATTTAGATGAAAGATAAAAAAAGACAAGAGTAATCTTTGTCCAGGGAGTTTCTTTCTTCTTCTTCTTCTTCTTTTTTTAATAGAAGGTCATTGGAATTCATATATCAGGTGCGATTTCTGTTATGAAGAGGATGCTGGGACCTTGGATCTATTGTACAAGTGGTTCTGGCAGAGCTGGTAGATCTTTGAATTTAGGTACCCACTGTTGGAACCCAAAAGGCAAATTGTTAGGTTTTTTCTCTCAAGAGTTGGTGGCATGCTGCCATTTTTCATCTTCTGTGGGTTTCTGGACACATATCTTTCTGTGTTCACTAAAATAACCATTGTTTCTGACTCTCTGGCCTCTTTAGATGGTGAAAATGATAGACCAGTACTCCAAGCTAATAATTTCTCATCATTCTCTCACTAAAAAACTCTTTCACAAAAGGAGTTGGTTAAGCAGTAAATGAAAACTCCAGTTTAGCTCTAGCAATGGGAGGAAAGTAAAAGATTGTTGGGTCTAAAGGAAGAATCAAATGTTGCTCAATTTTAAGCCACAGCTGAAGAGCAAACGAAAGGGTCTTCTTTCAGTTTTCCTGAAGCCGTGTTGTGAAGACAGTATGGTTTTGTGTGTCTGTGTGTTTCTGTTCCTGTTTTGTTTTTGACTTCTCAGGAAGAGGTTTAAACATGAAGGCAAACCTTTTAGAAGTTAGCATGCTACATCTGAAGCACAGCTGCCTCTTTTTCTTTTCTTTTCTCTGCTTCCATTCAGGCCTATCACATAATTTAAGAAATCAATGAAATTTAAGCACGGGAGCTTTAACTATAGTGTGAAAAAAACCCTGATCAATTTTGTTTTTACAGCACGATATTATCAAAGATTTAAGAAACAAATTTGCCAGCCTCGGCGAGAACTCTCTGGTAACAGCATAAATGTCTGTGTTGGTTGCTTTGATTTAAAGGTTTCTTTTTTCTTCATTTGTTTGAGCCCATTTCTTTCCCCCTCCTTTTAGTTCACTTTATTTTTCATATTCTGTAACTAGCAAGCCTTCATTTTTTAAACCTCTTCCATCTTCCAGTGTCTGTTGTCCGTACTTTGGATGGAAAGTTTACGGTAGCAAAGCTGTTGCTCTGGCTACCTCTGCTGCAACTCCTACTGCTCTTAGGTCATATATGTTTTGGCCGTTGTGTTTACGGACATGATACTAATTGAGGGCTTCATGTCCATTGACTAAGCTTTTTCTATCACGCCATTGATGGACACGCTGTCATAGGGCTCTATGCAACTTATACTGCTTAGTTCCGCCTCAATTGTCCAGCGAACTGGATTGCTCGAGTGAATGCTCATCCCAGTCTTAAACTTGCTGTGCCTTTATATTTTCTCATGTTTAATTTCCTCCTTTATGTTCGCAGTGGTAGCTTAAGTGGAAAAGAACCAACTCCAGCCCATTGCTCAAGCAGTGCCATGCAGTACCCTCTGTTACCAGCAGAGAATGCAAAATATAAAGGCACACTGCTTCTCTTATTGTTTGGAGGTCCCTGGGGGGATCGCCTCATAAGTCCACAACTCAGTTGAAGCCGCCCTTTTGATCCATATCAGCTTTCAACTCCAAGATGTCTCAGTTAATGTTTTCCTGTGATGCAGTGATAAACTTGCAACCTGAGCCATTGGCTGAGCAGTATCAAGTTATGGCCATGACATAGGAGATTATTAAAAAAAATGTGACCAATTTATGCACAAATGTTTCAATCGGAAAGTTCAAGTTTCAATGATGAAGTACAAAACTGTGATACAGGCTTTGGACGAATCAAACAATTAAAATTGAGAAAAATCCATCCTGGTAAACCAGAACCAAAAGTATATTGGGAAAAATATCAAGGGAAAAAAAAAAAAAGCCAAGAGTTGACTATGTGACTATCTGTCTGATAGCATTGTTGGTATTGAAATGGTCCATAATGTCATAGAGCCCATGTATGAAGAGATGACTAAACATATGGTCTGTAGAATGCTGTTCTGTCTACTGATAGCCACGACATAAATGGTTGGGATTTGTGTTCAGGAAAAAGAAATGGAAAAGCAAAAGCTTCTGTACCAGCAAGCCAGACTGCATGACCGTGGGGCGGCCGAGATGGTGCTTCAGACCATCAGTGCCAGCAAAGGTGAGCTTGTGCCTGTCCCCTCAGGAGGGGATGTTCGTGCTTCCTCCTTGCTCCAGAGGCACTCCCTTATTTCAGTCCCTCTGACCTTTGGGCCCTGGATGCTAAATGGCAACTCTCACATTTACAGAGACAATGTTTTTCAGAGCCTCACTAAAAAGACTTATTTTATGCATATTTTTAAGTTTTAGCAGCTATATCACATCTCAACTCTAGCAGACTGAGCACATAAGTCAGGAGTTTGCAAGATTTTCTGTAAGACTAGCTTCTTGTACCATGTGTTTCCTTGTAACTTCCCAGTTCTGCCATAGGAGCATGAAAACAGTCAAGACAACAAGTAGCAAACAGTGTGGCTGTGCTCTAATAAAACTTTATTTACACAAATAGGGATCAAGCTATAGTAGACCTCAGGTCATAGTTTATTGGCTCTTGACTTAAGTTTGTAGACATTTAAAGTGAGTCTTTTTAACATTAATTTAAGTACAATTGTCTATGTGAGTAGCCAACCATTTCAAGATGATTGTTTCTGTATTAGTAATATCTTCTTTTTGTGAAAACATGGTAATATCATTTTTAATGGACTGGGAAAGTAATGTTGATACTCTGTTATTAAGTATCCCTTCTCCTAAATTAAGGGGATTATTCTTATTTCTGAGTAGGGGTAAATAATGTAAAAATAAAATATAATGTACTAAATGATAGACAACTAGTTAGATTTTAAAATGTTGTCATTCTCTAAATAACTTAAAATTGAGAATTGCCACCTTAATAAAACCAAGCTATGCACATTAAAAGTGACAAATGATTAAAGTTCCAATATAATATTGTTGAAGGAAGCAACTCATATTCATTTAAATATTATTCTAGTACACATGGTTAATTTTGAGTCTTAACAGTTTCAATTCTTAGTACTTCAATTGCTTCTTCCTGTTCTTTTTCCCTATGTTTTCATGTAGTTCAAGTCTTGATATATTACACAGAATTTAATAAAACTATTGATGCATAATTATGGTTTCATGTGTTCTGGTATATAAGTCAGTTGGTTTCCATCTTTGCACAGATTTGTAGGAGTTAATAAAGATTGTAAAATGTACCTCTTGAGGTAGGATAGGTTAATATAGCAGGTGAAATGATAAGGGATTCTATTTTTTGTATTTTTAAGGTGAAACTGGACCAATGGTAGTTGCTACTTTGAAACTAGGAATTGCTATTTTAAATGGTGGGAACTCTACCGTGCAGCAGGTAATGTCTTTAAGCAAGTTGCATAATGTACTTTTCGAACAAATGAGCCCTATAAAATTTGTCTCTATGTCAGTTTTCCACAGTACTCAAAGAGAACATGACAGGGAAAAAGTAATTATGTGGTCATCTTACAAACCCACACATAAGACAGGGCTGAAATATCCACAAATGTTAGCCTTGACAAATGAGTTCATTTATTGGGAAATGAACCTCTCTCTGACCATCTTTACTTCAAACTATGGAGGCATGGTTGCATCCATAGTGTGGGTCAACAGCCAGTTTTTTACTTTATGCTGGAGCAACAGTGATATGCATTCTGTAGAAACCATACTTTGAGTTTAGGATTCTTATGTTTTCCTGGCCGGCATGATACTCCCTCTTGATAGCAGGCAACAGGGAGCTGTCCTTGCTTCAGCCATGATATCTAAGAGTAAACAACCCCACTGTAGTGTGCTGTGTGGCTAAGCTATGGTGTCCCATGGTATGGTGCAGTATACACTGGCAGGGGTAACCACACCATCCTCATTTCCATAGTAAATGACCACAGGATTTTAGAAAAAAAGGAAGATAAGTAAAACTAATCTCTCCAAAATATCGACAATATTTCCTGGCTTCATGCTTTACTCCAAAAGCCCTTCCTTTTACAGTATATATATTCAGAGTCCTTAGATCCAGAGTCCTTGAAAGGTAATGCAGGAAATGTCCTTGCTGTCTATTCACACCTCATCTTTTCTCCCTTGAACTTCAAATATATATGTCACCACCTCCCTGTGATGCTCTAAGCCACATTCCTTTATCTTAAAAGACCTATGATTAATGTGTTCATTTTCTCATAGGCTAGTAGGTTGTCACTCCAGTGATTGCTTTGCATGCCCTTGTGTATTTATGTGCATGGTGTGTGTATACACACATAGAAACATCATATGTGTGCATTTATGTGTGTACAATTTGTGTGTGTGCTGTGCTGTATCCTTTACATATTTAACTTATATTGCCTTTCACTCTGACTTCTGAAAAATATCACTATCAAAATTTTTGCTACTCAGCTGAGGTCAGTTTAGAACAGCACTGACAGTAGGAATTACTCTATTCTATCAATGATTGGGAGTAAAACAGTGTCTTTATTTCTTCAAACCTTTGAGTATGCCTTTTATTACCTTGTATGTGTGATGGGGTTTTGTCCAGTAAACTTATCATAAGTGGTGAATATCATAACTTGAAAATGCACTTGTTATTCCTGTACTAAGGGACATCATAGCTTAGCAACAAAACACACTAAGCATGTGGGTTGTTTACCCAAAGATCTTAAGACAGAAGGAATTGCATCCCCTATGTGACCCAGTGTTGAGAGACAAGTGTCCTGCAATAGCCCAGGAAAAGATTAGAATTCGAAATTCAAAGTAGGGTTCCATTGAATGTGTATCACCATTGTACCATCATAAAGTCAAAAAATTTATAATCTGAGCCATCATAAATCAGGGACTTGTATGTACTTCTCCAGTTTTTTTCGTTGAGACAGGGTTTCACTCAGTAGCTCAGGCTGGCCTCAAGTGCTCAAACCTTGTGTCTCAACCTCCTGGGTGCTCAGATTATAGGTTTGCACCACCATATCTGGCTCTGTACTGTTTATTTGAAACCTCCAAAACATTGTACAAGTATTAGAAATAGCTGTTTCACGTTAGTGTGTAAAAAGCTAACAAGACAGAGCCATGGGTTGCTTTAGCATTTTTTTACACTTGTGTTTACATCAAGTATTAACCACAGATTCTGGACATTGCTCTGAGAACAGAGAATAGCTTAATAGCCCAGTGATCCTGGACTATTTAGATTCAGAGACTAAGATGTCCAAGCCTCAGTCTCTGACTCTCACATCAGCACATGCTGATCGCAATCTCTGATGATAATGCTGTTTAAGGAACCCTCTTTTCCTAGAACCCCATGGATAGTGACCATGAAGACCTTCTGGTTTTTTACACCAGTGTGTGAGTCTACAGAGACTGTAGAAAGACAGGACGGCAGATTCCAGTTCTGTTTCCTCTGATCGTTATGGTGCGTGTGGAGGTGGGGAAACAGCTCCCTTCTTCCCGTCACGTTATTTACTCCTACACCTGGAAACATACAGTGATCTTGCTTTCACGTGTTTGCCACAATTTTGTGCTAAACATGACAGGAGTAACAATTGTATGCACGAGATACTTTTCGCCTTTGTTCCAGAATAGAAAGCCTGTTTTCAATATTTACTTAACAACAGCACAACAACAAGGCTTGTGTTCAGTGGCCTTGTGGCTTCTTTCTTTCTGTAGAAGATGCTTGACTACCTGAAGGAGAAAAAGGATGTGGGTTTCTTCCAGAGCCTGGCGGGCCTGATGCAGTCCTGCAGGTGAGGATGTGCTCTCCTCCTTGGGTTCAAACTCTGCCTGGCATCTCTGGCCATCTTTACTCTTGGAAGAATTGGTAATGAGGAAAGGCACTGGGCAGTGGGTTGACTGGCAGTGTCTTGTTGCCTGCCTTGTTTTTAGAGCATTAGTAATGTCCTAATTACCAATTCTCTCAATGTCGTTAATGCCCTTAAATGTCTTAATGTGCTTCCGTAGGGACCTTGGAAAATTAAAGTGTGTTCTACGTAGTTATGTATGAGTTTTTAAGCAAGAAATACAAGAAAATTCTATTGATTTTTATTTGGGAGCTTGCAAGGCATTTCTCATTTCTTCTAAGTGATCCTTAACCAAGTAATTTGTGATAATCATTTTGCATTTTTTTAAATATTTAAAATCATTCAGATAGCATTAGACTGAGGAACCTGATGTAAACATATCACAATACTCTATCACAGCTGCAGAAACACGATTATTTTAGCTACAGTTTCACGTGCTTGCTAACTTAGTAATGCTCTCCCCACGCTGAAACCAAGGGACCTTGTGCTTGAATTTCACATGGGTCATTTTAGGGTGACCTAAAATGGGGAGAGGCTGGTCTAGGGTGGGAAAAGGAGGTCAGGATTGGGTTGGGACACATTTTCAGCGTGTGCTAATGTTTGGTTACGTTTCAAGTCATATTTAGATGTTTACTGTCTGGAACCAAAAAAAAAAAATGTTCTACTAGTCCTCTCAACACTCTTTCTGTTTTTATTGTAGTGTCCTTGACTTAAATGCATTTGAGCGGCAAAACAAGGCTGAAGGACTCGGCATGGTGACCGAGGAAGGATCAGGTATTAGTCACTTACATTAAAAGGATCCCTGTCCCCTTTCTTTCCCCAGACAAGTCCATCAGCAATTACTTTCTCAAGTAGAGAGATACAAGGCTGCTTTGAAATTGATAAAATGCTGAAGTGACTCATTTGAATGATTACAACTAGACACTCACATGGGTCACACCCCAAAGCCATTGTTTCACACCTGTCCCTGCTCCCTTTTGTCCCAGCCCAGCTGTCACCGCCCTTTCTCCTGGTTGGGTATTAATAAGGGATAAAAGTCTAGTAAAGGATAAAGTTCCTTTGTGAGAGAATTATCCACAAGATCTAAACACATTCGTGAACCAAGGTAGAGAATGTTTTTCTTTCTTTGGCTACTGTCCATCTCCCACTGGCCAAGCTCTCCCTCTCAGCGCTCACCCTGCTCTCTCACAGTCTAGATTATGTGAGGACAGTTAGAGTAGTTTTTGTGTTTAAATAATTTGGTGATTTTATTTACACATGTGCAAAAGAAGTGATTCGTGCCACATCTTACAATTTTTTCTCTATAAACAGAAAGTTTAGGATGCAATGCATTTTAAAGCAGAATTCGATAGTGCTACCCATGCACCTTATGAATATTTCTTAAGAAAAACCTGTTTCCAATATTTTTTGTTTTGATGGATTTTTATTCTGTTATGTCTGATTTTTTTAAACTGCATTAGTTTTAGTGTTTTTGTTTGTTTGGTCCAGCCTCGTACTCATCATCTTATCAATATTAGTTTTGGAACATGGGTTCTTTTATTGGCCTAGTCTCATTTCAAACAATAAATTTTCTCCCATTTGCCATATGTAGTTGTGATGGCCCTTCTGAAAAATGTTGGAATTAATCTTTTTATATCTGTCTACCTTTGTTCTCACAAATAGGAAAAGTTTCCTTATTTCATACTGTATTTTAAAGTTTATCACTTTTACAGATTCTAACCTGCTAGTACTGTGTGGCATCCATGTTACTTTATTTTGTGTGACATTTCACTATGTAGGCCCAATCATCAAACATAATATCATATGGTTAATCAAGTTAGCTACCTTCAAGAAAAATCACCAGGCACACTCGAACCTTCTTTATGGTTTCTTTCCTAAGGGCCCCATCTGGAGAATTCAGAGTCAGTAGAAATTTCAGGGTACTCTACCTGCCTGGCTTAAGCATCTCTCAGAATCCGGGGCATATTCCAGCCATAGAATGCCTAAAATCAAATGAATTATTTGTCCAAAGTCTGAGTTCCCTGATTAGAATTAGAAACCAATTTTAGTATCTCCTGCACTCATCACCTAAATTTCCAGAGACTCTGAACAGAATCCCACGACTCAGTCTCTTTTAGTATCAGTCTCCATAAAGGAATGGCAGCTCCACGGCCATCTCTAGCCTCGTCAGCCAGACGTGGACTGGAATAACCTTTTTGAGTCACCAGTCAGAAGTAACCATGACAGTGCATTCCAACGTGAGAATTATGTACCTCTCCCATTAGGGGGTTGGTTTAATGTGTGCATTCTTTCTCAACACACAAAAAATAATTGTCCAGACTGATTAACACATTTTTTTATTTCCTTACAAATAGCAAACAGAACCTAAGTTTCACCTTTTTTTTTCTTTTCCTTTTCTTTCAACTTCTGTAAATGTTCCACTTTCATTCCTCAGTCATCACTCATGAGCGTGGTAATTATTAAAAACAAAACTGTCTTTTGTTTATTTGCTCTTTTATTTGTGGTTAGCTTTGAGTGCAGACTTGATAGTACAGTCTGTGTGCATTTTACCCTCTCATAGTATGTGTTGACAAGTAGATTATTTAATTTCTATTCTTATGCATTGCTTTTTTAAAAGTTTATAGACTTAGCTTTCTTGTTTTCTTTATTCTTCTTTCTATGAAGATGTACCATTATCAATACACTAGATGTGAAGAGGCCACACACATTTATATTGTGCTTTTGGATTTGTTTTGTTAGGTTTCTTTCATTTGAAAACATTCCTTGTGGGCCTGTGAATGAAAGAATCCTAGAATGTGCGCTTTAGTCTTCCCGTGACGAGTTTGTCTTGAACATACTGTGGCTTTATGGCTGTACCAATGATGCATGGCAATTAGTGATATATCCAAGGTGAACTGTGACCACTGAGTGTGCTCTCCCCATTGCCTGCCCAGTCTTGGGTGGTTTGGTTTGGGTTTTCCTCTTTTCCTTTGAAAATGTCAGTTTAACCATCCTTTTAACATGAACGCTAATTTTCATCCTTGAGACTAAATTCAAAAAGCAGCTACAAGTAGTAGTAACTCCTTACTCTTCAAACTGATATAAAAACAAAACAAAGATGGCCTTAGTATAATAGCTTCAGCAGGACATTTGTGCAATAGTAATACAGAAGGGATTCAGATTTTGATTAGAACTTAGTATGTCAACAAGCTTTCAGGATAAATTGTGCTTTCTGAACATGTACTACTACTTTAACCATGACACCTATTGGAACAAGCCAGGAAAACGACACCCATTGGTAGCTCCATTAATGTTGTAGTATTTCCCAGACTACTTTAAGAACTCCTATACCGAACTCTCTTTGGGCATATGTTTGAAGTTTCTGTTATGAGACCATTCTCTTGCTTAAGGTTCTACAAATTTAAGAAAAGCTCATCCCATCATAGGAGAATGAAAATTGGCCATTCCTCTTGGAAAAGACTAGAAACCTAAATCTGTGTCTGATGTCACAGCTTAGAAGGTTCAGAGTACAGGCTTCGTACTAAAAATGAATCTGCTCGAGCCAAACCTTCTCCATCCTAACCCACTGCCTTCAGTAGGCTAAATCTCTTCTTGAAGATGATTAATATGACCATCAACTACATAGTCAAGCACAACGCGTAAAATTCAGCGCATGGAGTTTTGGGATGCTCACAGCCCTCCAATATGGACGCTATGAGCTGGATTTTATAGATAAAGAGACCAAGGGATGGAAAGGCTCCTTGGCATGTCCACCACCACACAGCTGGGTGGCAGAGCCACTGCTTACTTTACAGATCCCATGAGCCAGAGTCCTTTCTCCCCATCTTTTCCTGTTCTTCGGGGATGTGTTTCACAGTCAACATTGTAGATAGCATTTTTTGTCTTTTTGCCTCCTGTTTTTTGCACCCTGCAAGGACACCAGTCTGTTGTCAATTTTTATACACAGATTTCACACTGATGGTTTGCCTTCTTTATCTACTGCAGTTATTATAATGTACCTTTGCCCTGCCTCTATCGCTCCTTACTAAATTTCCCCCATTTTGACAAAAACCTGGACCTCCTACTTGTAAAAAAAAAAAATAAAAAAGACAGTAAGTTCTTCAGTGAATGTGTTTGGTGGATTTGTGATGTGCTCAGTGTTGTCCTCTCTGAATATTTTACATTCGCATAGGTTTTAAATGGTATAATGAAGTTCAGAAATCTATGTGAATATTTAAAATTTCATTCCATCTTTTGAATTTTTAACTTGTCTTTTATCAGAACCATTTAACCTCATGACCAAATCATTACCAATTTGAAAGTGCAATTTTCCTTCTTTCAAAATTCTTCTTGGAAGATAGCAAAAGATACTGTGAACATGACAAAGACATTGCATTTTAGTTCTGACCAACATGTAATGGTCCTAGATTTCACAGGCGTGACAAAGTTTTGAAGTTGATCTGATTCTGTAGAAATCATTTGATTTTTAAAAAAATCTTCCCTAAACATTTACTACCAGTTAACTATCCCAAAATTCCCAGCCGTATCTGATATCATGCTACACAATATGAGTTTCTTATTGATATACTTCTGGTGACCTAAACAAATTTATGTGGAGTTGAAGCAACAAAGATGAATTTTTAATTAATTAGGCAAAAGGATTATATTGATCTTTAACTATTGTTTACTATAGCTTCTTGTTGCAGTTTTTATTATCTTGCTATTTATTGACTGTCTCTCCCCCAAGACTTTCAAAATACTTTCACAAACATGGCCTAGTGTTCTGCCTACTTTATTCCACCCCTGGTGGGAGAAAACTCTTTTCAAGGAAAGCTTGTGGTGTTGGTTCATGTCTCCAAAGAAGTTTTCTTAACATCCTTGCTCGCTTTATAAACTTTGAAGCACTCATTTAAATTTGAGTGGCTGGTATGTTTTAGTTAGTGTTCTAGGCATTGAGAATGATTTGGGATCTCAGTGTTATGAGGACAGACGTGCACACACAGAGCTCCAGAATGATGCTGTATGTGTGGGGATGATCTCAGTGGGAGGACTTAGCTGCCAGGGGAATGAAGGGCACCTCTCTGTAGAGGTAACATCTGGCCTGAAATAGAAGTACCTCTGGTAGATTAGGAAGGCAGAGACTTTCCAGGAGAAGAGAGCAGTACATGACAAAACATGACAGATATCTATGACCACTCATAGTGTGATTAAGGGAAGTTGATCAGACTAGAGAGTGGGAGGATAGTTTGCGGAAGACTGAGAAGAACCTTCTTCTGCTCTGCCATGAAATTTGTATTTTTTTTCCTGGGGCCATAGAGAGCCCTTATATAGGTGACATTTAAACAGTACTCTGTATATTGTAAATGACTCAGATGGAATTAGTTCCTACCATCTACTATTAGAAGAATGTCTCTGGTTTACTGCACTGACATTAAAGTACACAGATTTATCATTTCTCAATAATTGTGCTATAAGAAACAAAGCTCCTCCAAAGAAAGAGTCGAGCATCATTTCCTCCATGGAAGTGGGGAGCTCTGAGGTATGCCTGGTGACTTATTCAGAGTAGACTTTTAGTAATGACAGGTAAAGGACTCCATCTGTGAGTAGGGATGTATTATCATTGGGTGGATACCTTTGAAAAAATCACTTCTACCAACACTGTATAGATGGGCATCACTGTGTGAAGGCAGGGAAGTCGGGCAGGGTTAGTGGAAAGGATGAAGGTCAGTAGGAATTTCAGGAAGAGTAGTGTCAGCTAAAAGGCGTGGGTTTTGTCTTTAAGAGAAACAATTGCAGGGCTCGTGGAGTGGCTCAAGTAGTAGAGTGCCTGCCTAGCAAGCATGAGGTTCTGAGTTCAAACCCAAGCACTGCCAAAAAAAAAAAAAAAGAGAGCGAGAGAGAAGGAATCTCTAAATCACAATGGATATGATTTAAAGTCCCTTTACTAAGGGACTTTCTTCCACAGCTACATTAACTCATTGCAGTAAAAGAATTTACTTTAATTCTGTCATGTTTATAACATACCTAATTTATTTCACACAATGATCGTTTTTGTTATCCTGGGATCTAAACTAGCAATGTATTGTATTCATGGTATCAGATTCTTAACAAAATTTAAATAAATGCACGTTATTTATAGCTAACAATATCCAGAACCTACTGAAATCCTATATTTTAGGAATCAAGGTCATTTGACCTATGGCTTCATAGCGCTGAAAGTTTACATTTATTCCCTTTGCAGTTTGCAGATTTCAGAGCAGTTTTATGTATCTGAACCAATGTGATTCTCCCAACAGCCTATGAAATAAGGGGCCAGGTGTTTATTAATCCCCATAGCAAAATTAAAACATCAAGGCAAATCGACTTCTCTAATGGCAGATATCTAGCAATGATTTCCTTGGGTCCTAAGTTTAATGAAAACAAGTATCAGTTCACAATTTGAAGAAGGCACTGTGTGATATTGTTAAAGATCTTCTTAGTTACTGATGCTACTTTACAAAGTTTAGAAACTGTAGCATACTGGATTCAGAAAGACCAAGCAATACTGCAATTATCTGCTCACTGCCTGCCTCTTCCATCAGACTATAAAGGTGGCAAGCAGAGAGGAGACACTGAGTCAGTGTCCACTGATGCTCACAGGAACCAAATCCTTTACCAGTGAGGAACTGTATGACATCAGCTGAGATGCTTAATTTCTCAGCTGTACAGTGAACCGTACAGTGGGGTTATACTTCCCTAACTCACAGGGTCACTATAAGCTCAAAAGGAAATAATGAGCTAAAAGTTACTAAATGTTAGTTAACTGAGTTCATTTTTTAAAAAAGTTTGTATTTTGTTGGTTGAATTATATAGTTGAAAGTCATAATCAAGCCATTTAAGCAATGATATTAAAACTGACCACATGGAATAAAATACTCAACTTTTCAATATCTAAAAGTATGTTTAGTATTAATTCTTCAGTTTTGCCACTGTGCAAAATAGACATTTAAGTCCTCTGGAGATCAGTAACCAGATTGACGTCCTCCATTGGTGGTGGGGCTCTTTTGAGTTAGACTTATTGATGGATCGTGGGGAGTCCTTTGATGTGGCCCATCTTCTGATTCATGCCACTCACTTTTTCATCCTTGTATTATTAAAACACTGACTTGATAAGACCTTACAACAATGGTCTTGTCTGACTGTTTGGTGTCTATACTTTTTCAATTATTTTTAGGTGCCTATTAGGTAGTATTGTCACTTATATCATTAAATTTTATTAATCCATTACTAAGTACTACCATTTAATTTTTCATTAGTATTAATTATCACAGTGAAACCAAGCTTTGTCTGCAGAGTAGGCTGGGAACTTCAATCTATGTCCATGGGCTTTCTAAGTAATTACTGCACACACACACACACACACACACACACACACACACACACACACACATGAGTATATGCACTCATGTACACACATGGATGCACTCAAATGTTTACACATACTCAAATGTTTTATTAAATTGAATCAAACACTTGAATACCTTTCTATTAACTGGGTAAACCAATTGGAGGTAGAACAGTGGTTTTTAAAAGTTAACTTTATTAGATCTGTAAAATAGGACTTACTTTTAGCTTAAGTAAAAAAAGGTCTACCTTGTATTGTTTCCAAGTGAAAATGTTCAGTATTAAAATTAAGATGGCTTTCAGAAAATGTAACAACAATTAATGAAACTAAAAGTAAATATTCACATAGCCATTTATCAGCTAGGCATGTGTTGCCACTGCTCCTAATATAATAACCTTGTCACTCTTTATATAATCACCACACATTATGTAAAAACAGTAGTCATATGTTGTCCTCTTTTTATTAATGAGAAAACCAAGGGGCAAAGAATGAGCTCATCTCAAGCCACAGTGTTGAAGTCCTTCTCCCTGAGTGATATCACTTAGGCATCTTAATTGAGCCCTTTATAAAAGTAAAACCAAAGGGACGCCCTCTACAATATTTCCCTTGGCCCTCACGTACCTATTGCAAATGTTATTTTAAGAATGTCAGAGCACTTTCAACTCCATGTGACTCCATTTCGTTATTTGTCATTAACCTTAGTTTCCATCTTTCAATGAGATTCCTTTTGCATACATCACAAAATAGACTCTTGATCCTGGGCCTCTGCAGTCATAAAGCCATCCTCCATCTCTGTTACTGCACCACTTACTTGCAGCATGGGCAATGGCAGCATTTTAACCCCAGAGCAATGTGTACGTTAAGCAATAGCGCCCTGTTTATACCTGGAACCAAGCGGCGGTAAATGAAGGCTTGTCCCATCCTTTCCTGTCACTCCTCCCTCCCTATTTTTCTGCTGTGTGCAGTGTGTCCTCATGTAAATGAAGTTACTTATATGTCTTTCAGTTTATAGTCAAGAAAATAAATACTGTGCATGCCAACAGTCAATAAAAACCTCTTGTTATAAATCATTATGTATTATGCAGCGAGTTTTTAGGCACACAGATAGACGATCTCTATTTTAGTGTTCCTTTTCCTGAGTACTTTCTATCAGGATTACTTGTTTCCCATTGAACTCATGAAACTTGGAAGTATATACATGGTTTATTGATTCTGTTTTCAGAAGAAAAACACTGTTGATGGGCTTACAGGGAAAGAATCAATAGTTCTATATGACTAACTCATAATATTTTATTTAAATATCATTTTGAAGAGTCTTCTGATTGAAACAGTATCATCAATGAAGAGTTAGGTTTGCTTATCAGCCTAAACTGTTCCTGTTTCTTTCTGATCGCGTCATGAGTTCAAGCTTTGAGGAATGGACTTATCAGCCATGTGTGGAGATTCAAAGCAAATGAGCCTTGTATACTTGCCACAACCTCTGATTTTTAGACATGGTGATTTTTAGCTTGGTCACCAAATATCATATCTTGTGGGCTAACAGGGAAATGAGTACAGTGATTTTATGTACTTTTTTTTAATGTTTATATTAGTTATCAAAATGGTTTTGCTTCCTAATCCTACCATTATATGAAGCCTCTCACTTTGAAAGTCACAGACTGCGGACTGGTAAGTCCATCAGTTCTCCATCATTATGGTCATTCGTCATCCTACCTAAAATAAATACATGGTCATTGCACAGTTTTCTTTCATAGCCCAAAGTATTTCCAGTCTGTGAAAAATTATTTTTCATGAATACATAAGTATATCCATTCACTGGCTGAACAACTTTTTTTTCCATTATTTTGCTTTTTAAACAAATACAGATTCCTGAGTCGACACTCATCACTTTGAAATTTTGTTTTCACTAACAGTTGTTTTTTGTAATCAACTTTCATTTGTGTGGTGCTGTTTTGTGTTTGTTTCTTTCCTTGTGTTTTTGCCTTTCAAAGTAAATTGTGATCACTGTTGGGGCTTCATCCATGCCCCCCAAGTATTCTTAGTTTTCCATGATGCAGGATGGATAGCTTCTCTGTTATAGTTAGCTCTTGGGATACCCTAGTCTTTCTTTCAGTTTAATATTTAGAATGAAGTCTGCCTGTTAGTTTCCCTCCTCTGGGAGACAGGTTCCAACAGTGATGAAAATGTCTTTAGATGTCTGAAGCCTTGACATCTTTTAGTTAGTAGACAAATGTTTGAAAAGTTAAAGTAAAGTGAGTTAAAAAAAAAAAAAATGTCTAGCGATTTACAGTTTTCATGAAACCCTTTCATTATTCTTCAATCAAAGAAGCCCTTGATACTGTCTTACAGATACATTTCAGGCTTTGTATCAAGTCATTTGGTCATGCCTTGGGAACACAGCAAATTTAACATTTGTCAGAGGTACAATGATCACTTCTATTTGTATATACAGTCTTTCCCAAAACAAGAAAAAAGGACAGGAAAAAAAAGTCTCAGCCTTCAGGTTGCTTGTAAAATGTTGCCAAACCCATGCTGCTACTTTTAACAGAGAGAAATAAAAGTTTTAAGATTCAAATGTTCTTTTCTTGCAAAGAAAAAGTACATCTGTCTGCCAAGTGCATGACCTCAGGAGCTTCAGATAGAAAAGTCGCTCTGACCTGGGAATGTTCTGGGTTCAGAACAAGGCTACATGATGCAAGCATGGGGGTGGGGGGTCAGGGACGGTGGCCTGGTGGCTGGTCCTGTTCATCCCTCTGCACTTCCCGCAGGAGAGAAGGTTCTGCAGGATGATGAGTTCACCTGTGACCTCTTCCGATTCCTGCAGCTGCTTTGTGAGGGACACAACTCAGGTTCGTGAGCCCCCGGCCTGGCTGATGGCAGCGAGACTCGCTGACTCCAGCTATGCTTTTTCTCAGTGACTTCTTGAGCACTATTCTGTAGGCATAGGGCACTGAGCTACTTCACAGAGGTCCTCACTGCTTTCATGTCACTTGATTGTTTTTTTGACCAATTGTTATGTTAGAAAAGTGAAGTGGTAGTTATAAAAGATGTAAATTAGGTAGATATCTTTAAACTAATATAGATGTTTATTTTATTTTGGTGGCCCTGGGGTTTGAACTCAGGCACTCTGTCATTTTATCCACATCTCCAGGTCTTTTTCCTTTGGTTATTTTGGACATAGAACAGCTGGGGACCATGAGCCTCTATTTTAAGCTTCCCACCATAGCTGGGATGACAGGGATGTACACCATGTCCAGCTTTTTCAGTTGAGACAGGGTCTCCTAAGCTTTCTACCCGGGCTATTCTTGAACAGGGACCCTCCCACTCTCAGCCTCACAAGTAGCTCAGATCACAGGTGCGAGCCCCTGGCACCTGACTAGATGTTTTTGTCTTTCGTGATGCTTTTCTTTACCTTGGGAGGAGACGTCATTAAATTATTTAACATAGTGTATTTTCATTCCTTGTTAAGGTATGTAGCTCTGTTCCATGGAGGCAGGAATCATATCTTAATTTTTATAGTTCTTGTTTCCCCAGCATGTTGTACAGTAGTGAGGTTTCCTGAATGATTCGTCTGTCCTCAAGGATGGAAAGCTTTTCAGTCGTTCACAGGCCCAGATCTCTAGAAAAAGGAAGAAGGAAATGGTGTCAACAGAATTGAACATTGATATTCCGTGAAGCATCTAGATATGTTTTGGGGATGATCATTCACTTTTTGCAGAAAACATAAATTATGTCCCATTAGAACTATCAGATAAAGCACTACCTTTTGCTGTGGACACATGGTTCACAGAGTTGCTGGAAGAATTGAACTGATTTTCAACTTTTCAGTGAGCTTATTAAAGCTTTCTGACCTTATGTAGATTTTCAGAATTACCTGAGAACTCAGACTGGCAACAATACAACTGTGAACATCATCATTTCCACGGTGGACTACCTCCTCCGGGTGCAGGTACGTGAACGCACAGGCCAGTCACAAGTTAAAACGACGGTGTCGTTGAACGCAGTGTGGCTAACCTGGCGTATCTCATCACTGTGCTTGAGTTAAGACTGTGAGTGATTTGAGGGCACCCTCTGTCTTTAATCACAGCCTTTCCTCAACTTCTAGGGGAAAACTGTCCCTGTCATTCTAATCTGATCACAGCTCCTACTTTGCTCATTACTTTCCTCCTATTGATGGCGATGCTCTTCTGTTTTTTAGCTTGATGATATTTTAGACTCATTTCCATTTTGGAATATTCAGCCCTTCCTTTCACAGTTGATAGGTAAACTGGGAAACAGTTGGAATATTCCTAGGAAGAAATCCTTTTCAACTGCTACCATACACTTACTTTGACAGCCTAAGCTTTTATTTTTGTCAACTGTCCTCATATTTGCATTAATTTTTTAGAAAATCTCCTTTACGCCTCACTGCTTAAAAATAACTTTGATGTCATAATTATATTTAACATGTCAACCAAACTATATCTGAAGGCTCTTAAAGAAGGAGACTTTTATTTCCCTGGTTATACTTCTAATAGAAGCCAGGTACACTATCTTGAAAACTACAAAGCCCAACACTCAGTTTTTTATTAATCTCTGAGGATGTAATAGCACAAAGTTTTTTTTTTTAATTTAAAGTTTCCTGGGAAATCAGTGCATTAGAAAACAAATATATCAAGAAAACATATTTGTGATCTTAAAATCATGTTTCAGAACTCTAACATAATTCATATGTTTAGCTAAATTGTTTCATTCATCTAGCCACTGAAAGTCCCTTCAAAATAGAAATTAATGTTGAAAATACCCTGTTGGAAAAGATGACTCTTATTTAGGTGCTCGTGTACAGTTGTGATTAGTATTGGGAACCAATCTAGCCAGTTTCCTCAGAGGCAATCGCAAAAAACAAGGAACATCATGGGGCTCTCTCTGCTAAAATGCTCCTGACAGCAACCAAAACTATACCTTTCCTTCATGTGTCTAATTTCTGGGCTCACATTGTCAATGCGTAACCTTGCTCAATGGATGAATACACACTAATCTTCACGAGTGTTTACATTTGCTCAAGGTCATCAGAGACAGGAAGTAATTTTTAAAGCTAAGCTTTCTGCTGCTTTTTTTTGTGTAGGGAGAAGGTTTCCATATTGTATGGTTGGGGTAATCATTCAAGAATGGTACTTACATTTTTGTTGCTGCTGTGTCTGTTATTTAAAAGACTTTTCTGTTATGGAGTCCAAGGCTGGACAGATGAGTGTGATACCTTTACTGTGTGCCTTGATAACCTCATCTGTATTTTCTAGGAGTCAATCAGTGATTTCTACTGGTATTACTCAGGGAAAGACGTTATTGATGAACAAGGACAACGTAACTTCTCCAAAGCTATTCAAGTGGCAAAACAAGTCTTTAACACCCTGACAGAGTACATTCAGGTAAACGCTAAGACATTTCTGCTATTTGAAGAAAGAAAAATGAAAACAGACGCAACTTGTTTGCAATGAATCCCAGAGAAAATAATGCAGTATGCCCAAGTATTTTCCACATTCCTACCAATCACTTCATTGTCCCTTCACCAATGTCCAACTAAAATAGTGGGTTGAAATGTGTCTTTATAGGGAATAAAATTCTTACCGTTTGGCATGTAGAGATGGAATTAACTCCTTAGAGGCATGAATGTGACCTTGACTCGGTCGTGTCTCCAGGTACTGGATTATGTTTGAAGCACTCAATAAATATTAAGAAAGAAAGGAGAGAAGAGGGGAAGGAGGGAAAAGGGGAGAGTGGATCCTCAAACCACCCTTATAGTATTCCAGTAATAGTGAGGAAGAAGTTTCATAGAAACTTAAGGAGAACATTGCTGAGAATCCTTGTTTGTGTGTGTACACCATACATCGTGGATAAATTCCAAATACCGTGGGAATGCACTTTGTTATGCTACATTGGTTTGTCTTATAGTCTCCTTAGGTTAAACTTCTAGTCTTGACCTCAGATATGTACAAAATAAAATTTTATATAATCCTTCGTTTTTTTTTTTTTCAATCTTCAGAACATCAGTGTTTCTGACTTTCTGTCTCTTATTTCAGTGGCTAAGATTTCCCTGAACTGGCCAGTCAGGATGTGTGATGAGTCTTGTGCTAAGGTGTCCAGGAGAAAGGGATGTGTAGTTCACTTTGTTAGTCTAACCATAATCTTGAAGGGGAGAGAGCCTCTCAGAGTTAGAGGTGTTGCCTGAATGAAGAACTCAGGGCCAATGGAAACCAGCTGGGGGGAAAGAGTGGTAGGGAAGAATAATGATGACATCCTCAGCCTGGTTCTGTCCTTTGTGCCTTATTCAGTGCCTGGAAAGGATCTCACTACTGGTATTAGTGTTCTCCCTGATGGGGGAAGAAGATCCTCGTTCCAACTTTTTTGGCAGTGCTGGAGTTTGAACTCAAGGCCTCACACTTTCTAGGCAGGTGCTCTACCACTTGAGCCACTCCACTACCCCTTTTTTTGGCTTTAGTTATTTTTCAGGTAGGGTTTCACACTTTTTGTTCAGGACCAGGGTCAGACCACCATCCTCCTATTTACAGCCTCCTGCACAGCTGGGATCATAGACACACATCATCATGCTTGGTTGATTGGTTGAGATGGGATCTCACTAACTTTTTGCCTAGGCTGGTTTCAAACCAAGATTCTGAATAGTTACAGATGTAATTCCAACTGCAACATGCGCAGCCCTTAATTTACCTTTTGAAAATGAAAAAGTCACACTGATTGGCACGTTTTCTTAAAAATCAAAGGAAAGTAGAAGTGAGTCTGTTTTAGTCCATCCATTAACGTCCTTATTTTCCTGGTTTCCATGGTTGCCTTAGCGTATCCTCATGCATGTCCTAAAGGTAACGGTACTGCGTTTATGTGCACTGCCATGATTAAATAACCTTGACCGACGACCTTAGCAAGCAGATGAATTTGGAGAAATAGTTAGTAAAATGGTTTCTGCATTCCAAATGAAACATAAATGCTTCTTCAGCCAAGAATGAGCATTTCTTGGAACCTAAACTAAGTGAAGTCCCTGAATGTATCTAAAGCTAGATACATGCACTGAGCTCTCACAGTGTGCAAAAGTGTTAGATGTGGTAGAGAACGCATTTGTAAAAGAATGGTCAAAGGACATCAGCTAAGGTCGGGTCTCACGGTTCACCCTCTCCGTTCATTTTAACTTCTGTCACTCCCTGTCCATATGACGTAGTCCTCTAATGCAACCATTTCTGAAATGACTTTACGCTTTAATAAATGTGTTTTTATTTCGAAATAACTTCAGGTTTTCAGAGAAGTTGCAGAGATCTACAGAGTTTCTATATGTGACTCACCCAGTTTTCCCTCCTGTTGACATTTGATATCAATGTAGCACACCTGTCAGAACTAAGGAATTAACACCGGCATAGTCCTATTAACTAGATTGCAGGCTCTCTTCTTATTTTGCTCATTTTTCCCTCAGTGCCCTTTTCTAGTCCAGGATCCAGTTCGGGTTAGCATATCTCATTTAGTGAGATAAGTTTAGGAGAAGCTAGTCTCTGTGCTGTATTCTGGCTAACTACTGACAGTGAATAAAAGATCATCAGCTTCATGTGTATTTTGGAGTGCCTTTTAGATCACAGCACTGTATATTTGCTTTTTATTCACGTTTTTGCTAACTATAGAGAACTGAGTGGAAGACCCAAAACAACTGTGCTAAAGATAATTACCTGCAGGATTACAATGCAAGTGCTAACAAAGGGGAAGAAGAAGAAAAATCGTGTGACTAAAAGGACGTGGTATCACAAGGGTCCTAGAGGACACTTCTCCTGTCCTTGCCATCAGGTCTCTGGGAAAGTAAGACTGCCCTGCCTTCCCACCTACAGCAAAGGTTTCTGTGCTAGGGACAATGATTGCATCCACAGGCAGGCAGAGGCAGCCATTCCCTCCAAACTGGCTAACAGCTCTGAGAAGTGGACATCTAAGGTTGAGCACATCCTGTAAAGTTCACTCCATGTGTTTTGGTTTTAAGATAAATTTACAACATTTTAGCTTAACTTCTTTTTTATTTTGGTGGTACCGGAATTTGAACTCAGGGCCTCATGCTTACTAGGCAAGCTCTACCACTAGAGCCATGCCTGCCTTTTGCTTTTGTTTGTTTTCAGGTAGTTTTGTTTTTCATGGGCCACCGCTGATTGTGATCCCCTTACCCACATCTCCTGAGTGGCTAGGATTGTCGGCGTACACTGGTTTGTTTCTGAGATGGGGTCTTGCTAACTTTGCCCCATCTGGCCTCAAATGTTCCTCCTATCTCAGATTACTTGGTTTAACATCTGAATGGGATTTATTTTCAGTTCTAGAATCAGGCAATAGTTCAGTTCATAAAATAGAATGAGCGTTCCAATGAGCTAAGCTGAGGACGTTAGGTTTATAGACAGAAAAAGACTGAAGAAAGCAGAAACAGCAAAGAATATTGGTCATTTTAAGTTGCTTTCTTTGTGAATCACAGAAAGGGAGACAGAACAATGGAACATCAAGTCAATATTAAGTTACTTCACCATGATCTTTTTGTGCAAGGATTAAGTCAGAGAGAATTTCGTTATCTTGCCCATTGAACCTGGCTTGTTTGAGAAATTTTTCTCTCTCCTGTTTTCTCTGAAGTCCAGATAAACAGCTTAGTTTCAGCTTGGTGACCTGGAACTTCTGCATGAGTGACTCCATTTTGATTTTTACACTGTCTGTGTAGGCACTTAATCCAAAACCATGACCACAGGCTAGGAGCATGACTCAAGTGGAAATCCTGCTTAGCAAGTGTGGAGCACTGAGTTCAAACCCCAGTACTACCAAAAACAAAAAAGCTGTAATTTATTTTAATTTTAAAGGAAAACTTAGTGCTTTGTCTTTGGATTTTCAACTCTTGTCACAGAAGAGTTGCCAGAACTGGTTGCCTAGAAGTCACAGAATACAACTCTTTTCTTTTATAATATAAAATCATAACTTTTGATTAAAACCCTAAATATCACATGAAGAAAAGTATCACTTATAGAAAAGACAAGTTCATTTCCTTCAAAATGGCATTCTAGTTTCCTCTAATGGCCTCCTTGCTTTTTACACTCTGATTTCTGCACCATGTAGTAGGACCATGTTGATGTTGAACTCAATTGCAGTGAAATGCTCAAGATCCATTGCTTTGAAGCAAGTTAAGATAGGCAGACAGAAGTAAAGTGTAGCCACGTTGGACTAAACTACAAAGCTACCATGTCTGCTTCACTAGCTGAACTTAGTGACCTGCAATTAAACCTAGCCTTTTCTCCTGTCCACACACGTTTGTTCTCTTCCTCCTTCTCCTGCTAGTCAGTCTCAGGCTTCCTCAGGGAAGCCTGAGGAAGTTGGGGTGGGAGAGCCAAAGCCTTTCCTCCATGGCACATGGAATCCTAGGTTCTACCCTAGAACTAGCCCTCTTGTGTGGCGAATTGTGTTCGTCCTCTAACAAGGGAGATTGGCCCTTGTCCTGCCCTGGTGCCTGGGAATAATGCACTCCTATCCAGCTGCTCCCACAGACTCTGGTTCCATCCACCATGGAATCACATTACTCTTTTTTATTTTATTTTATTTATTTATTTTTATTCATATGTGCATACAATGTTTGGGTCATTTCTCCCCCCTTCTCCCACCCCCTCCTTTACCCTCCCCACCCCCTCCCTCTCCCCCCCAACCCCCTTGATACCTGGCAGAAACTATTTTGCCCTTATCTCTAATTTTGTCAAAGAGAGAGTATAAGCAATAATAGGAAGGAACAAGAGTTTTTGCTGGTTGAGATAAGAATAGCTATACAGGGCATTGACTCACATTGATTTCCTGTGCGTGTGTGTTACCTTCTAGGTTAATTCTTTTTGATCTCACCTTTTCTCTAGTTCCTGGTCCCCTTCTCCTATTGGCCTCAGTTGCTTTAAGGTATCTGCTTTAGTTTCTCTGTATTGAGGGCAACAAATGCTATCCAGTTTTTTAGGTGTCTTACCTATACTTACCCCTCCCTTGTGTGCTGTCGCTTTTATCATGTGCTCAAAGTCCATTCCCCTTGTTGGGAATCACATTACTCTTTACATGACTTTGGGCAGGATCTCAGACAGGTAAGAGTGGCTCCTTCCTCAGTATCCCACGTAGGAAACACACAACTTTTCTTCACAATCACTTTCTGTCTAAAACGCTTTCTCATCCCAGACCTTGTGATTCCCAACTTCAAGAAACATAACCAGGCCCCTCAAGGGACGTCTTGAAGTCAGCATTCTCACAGTAGAGTCAGTGTGTGGAGTGCTGTCTTCAAAGCATCACCTTTTCAACTCAACCCCTTTATTTCCTTAGGGTGGAAAGATCATTTTCAGTCATTTTTTATGTAGGTATTGAGTCCATATCCTGCTTTTGTAATGTGGAGGGACTTGGTGGGTATTTCCTTCTCAGCTTTAAGGCCTCAAGTTAAGCCAAAATGGGACAAAGCTCCATTTCAGCCTCTTGTCCATGTCTTCAGTGCATCATGTATTGCCATCATCTGTTCCTAGAGTAAACTATGAAATGCTTGAAAGTGTTCTGAAACTTAAATTAATTATGAGTCATTCGTGTGAATGAATGAATGAATTAGAAGTTAAGAACTACCAAGGTGTGGTGTTGCTAGCATTCGGGAGGCTGGGGCAGGAGAATCACAGATTTTAAGCCAGCCTGGACTATATAGCAAGACACGGACTCAAAAATTTAAATATAATTCAAAAAGAGTAGCTCAGAGGTAGCCTGCTTGCCTAGCATACACAAAACCCTGAGTTCAATCCTCAGTACAGCAAAAAAAGGAGTGTTAGGAACTGTACTTTGGTGCTTTTCTCATTCAAAATAAAATCCACATTATCCATTTTCATGGTGTGTGTGTATGTGTGTGCTTGTCTGTCTCTATATATGTATTTTTGTCTATGTGTGGATTTTGTCCATAAATATACATATGCATGTATATATTATTGTTTAAAGTGTAAGTCCCTATTGAGATAGTCATTGGCAGTTTCTGACTGTTAAGCTTGGTTCACACTGAGTTGTAAAGCTTTGGCTTGGTTTCTGTATGAGCCCATAGCTCTGGAGCCCTGTCACTCAGGAGGCTTCCCAAGTAATCCTTTTAACAAAGTCTAATTGCCTTGGATTGTAAAGTTATGAAATTAATGACCAAGTGTTAGTCTTCTAAAAATATCCTAATGGTTGTACCATTTGTGAAACAGTTGTGTAATTAAGAAAATGTTGAAGACTTCTTCCTCTATAGAAATGCTTTATCCAGATAACGATTTATGAATAAGAAATAATAGCCTCTCATCTTAAGCACATTCTCATAGTCTGTTTACAAAAGATAGTGACTACTTGTTGATTTGATTGAACAACCCAAACACTGATACCTTACTTATCCTTTTCTTCTAGAGAGATCAAAGTCAGAAAAAATGAATTAGTCTGCAACTCTTTTATTTTTCGTTTGAAAGCAGAACACAAAATCCTACAGAAATATTTTCGAGGACTTATTAAGTGTTTCAGTGAAGAGCACACTTACTTGTCAAGGGAACCATTATCACCGCCTTATCTGTGTCTTTCATTGTGGGTCCCTGTGTTTCCAGCTGACATGCTGGCGATGAGACATTAACACTGAGTCCATTTTCCCTGTTATTTTAAAGTTGACTTTGGCACATAAACGGTCAGGAATGACTGCCATCTCTCTGTTTACGCTCCAGGGTCCCTGCACTGGGAACCAGCAGAGTTTGGCACACAGCAGGCTGTGGGATGCGGTGGTGGGCTTTCTTCATGTGTTTGCTCACATGCAGATGAAGCTGTCACAGGTAAATTAATGACCTTGTAAATCACGGCCTCTCTGCTGGCTGTGATCATTAGCACGTAAACATGCTATCTTATGTTTGGACATTATCTCTCATCGATCACTTCCTGATGCATCTTACTCTACATCAAAATAGTGTTTAAAAAACTACTTTATGCAAGCTGAGAATAGATAGATGGGAGTCAGTATTCAAATGTGAGAATGAAGGGTATCAATGAACTAAATGTAGTGGAGAAAAAAAATGGGGGTGTCCCCAAATAATTGCTTTTCAATCCTCATAGACATGCTGCCTTGTACTTGCTCATTGGAACTTGCCTCCCCTTCACAAATATTAAAGGATTGTAACCTGTTACAAATCTCTCTTTACGGGAGATAGTACTTAAAGGGTCATGAACAAGCAAAGATGACTTTCACCCATTACCAGGAAATTTAACTTCCTGGAAGCCAAAGAGAAAATAATAGCTGTAAGGCTAAGGCAATAAGGAAGAGACAGACTTTGCACCATGTTTTTGTGTTAACTTGGGTTTGCCTATTGAAAACAGCTTATTGTTTTCTCACTATTGTGTCTGTTCCATTTGGAACTAAATGATGCATTAATAGAAAGGTTTTTTTTAGTATCAGTCTTGAGTAGCCATGTCCCATTGATGCAGTGAATGTTGATATCCTATCCAGAGACTTGACATGTTTGTCAGGTTGGGTGTCTGTTAGGTGGTCAGGTAGAAAGAAATAAGGTTAGATTTAGAATCGGAATACTGCCATTATGGTCCCAAAAGTTTCACTCCCTTGTCCCATAAATGTGGGACAGTCCCTTCTTCCCTAAGGCCTTGTTTTCGCTGTATGAGTGAGGATACTCACACCCCTCCTGACCTATACGCAATGGCACATTGTCAAAGATGGGCCAAGCTGGATGCCACAGTGGTCAGGACGGATTTTAATCAGTAGTGACTGTTGTCACAGGGAAGAATCCGTGTGAACTTGACTCAAGTTCAGTTTGTAGAGGTGAGTGGGTATTCTGAAGGGAGAACCAAAGACTGTGAAGGAGGGCAGGAGGGGGAACAGGAGAGTCAGAGAAGTGAAAAGTCACAGAGGGTCACTTGGTGTAAATGTGGTTGTGCCAGCCATGTCTGCTAACTGGCAATTATCAAAGTTAGGGGTCTGTCCTCTCAGGAGACTTGGGCACAATGCCTTGGGTATTGTCAGGGATGGTAAGATTTTTGGTAGCCTTGCTTTTTCCCTAGCAGGCACTGTACATGGGGCTAAGTCCATCCTAGGGATGCAGCCATGAGCTGTTTTAAAACTATGCTAGTGTTTGTTCAAATCTTTGTACTTCAAGGTTGAGACCTAGTCAGCAAGAAAACTCAGAGGAGCCTGACATTGGTCAATGAGAAAATGCTAATATCTAGTTATTGGTGATATCAGTCAAATATGGACATCTCATTGTTCTTCCACCTAATTGTGAGTGGCATTTTAGAAAGCAAAGGAAACTGGCATGAATATAATCTATATGCTCACAAGAGAATTCTCAGTTCATGGGTTTTCATCATTTACTATCATCTGGTGTTACCTAGCAGTTGTTCATGGTAACAGCTACTGAAGAAAAGCCACCCTTCTAGCAGTATAGAAATTTAGTTTCAAATACAGCAAAATCCAAGTAAGTAAAATGATTCCTTATTCAATTTTTAAAGAAGAAAATTTAAAAGGATAGTTTAAATAAAATCTGATGACTGTAAAATAGGTTCTGTGAGGGATGGGTACTTGTGGGAGGGAGGAGGATGAATGGAGGGATAAAGGAGGGTGGACATGGTGGATGTAGTTTTTATAAATATATGAAATAGAATAATGAAAACTTCTGCAATTGTTTTAAGTGGGTAGTGAAGAAGAGAGGGAGATGGGGGCAAACCTAACCAATTACAATGTAACCATACATATTCAGAAATGTCACAGTGAATCCCCCCTGTACAATTGATGTATGCTAATTAAAATGTTTTAAGAAAAAGAAGAAGTTGGCAAACTGTCCTCTGAAAAAATATCTGATGAGATGTGGTATTGCTAGGTAGCTATAGTCACATCCCATATTTCTAGGCACTCAATCTAAGCATAGTGACTTTTACAACATATCTCTGTAAAATAATTTTTTTCATAATAAAAATAGCAAAATTAAAAACAGAAGAAAACAAAAACTCCCAGGAAACATTAAGCAGAGAAGTTTGTAAAAGCTCAATGAAACTGGACAAGATACAATGTGCAATACTAGCATAGGTAACATCCACGGGCATTTTTGACTATATTTGTGTAAGGTAAGTTTATGTTATATGTCCTGGATATGTCTATTTTTTCTAAAATAGATTAGTTTTACATACCATAGAACTTTATGTAAGACATAGAAATAAGAAAAGATACAGTCTTTTCAAAAAATAATTGGCAAATGTATAGAAGCACTTGAGTCTTGCCTGGCATTGGAGTGTCCATCAGTCTGTAGTCTCTCCCCTGTGCTTGTAAGACACACTCCTAGTCCTTACTTACAGGTACTGTAATGAACACATATTGAAATGAACAGTAAATACTCTTTAATTCAAAGCCGATCTATGTTTAGTAAGCTACATATTTGTAATTGGCTTTCTTTGGTTCCACGATGCATGATGGCACTCACTGTTGGCAAACAGTACATTTTTCTGTGAGAATAAATGGATGTTCTGGCTGCATACTTTTTATCCTGTTATCTCATATACAATCTGTTAACATTTTCAGGATTCCAGTCAAATTGAGCTTTTGAAAGAATTAATGGACCTTCAGAAGGATATGGTGGTCATGTTGCTATCCATGTTAGAAGGTACATTTATTTACACTTTCGAGTTCTTCTTCTCTCATTTTTAAGATCAATGTGTACTTATGGAGATGGTAAGATCTGACTGGTAGCACTGGTTTATTGCTGAGTTTGTTATTCTTATTTTCAAGTCAGTGTTTTTAAAAAGGAGCTGTGTCCTATGTCAACCTGCATAGGTGCAGAAGGAGAGCAGTAATGTTGTCTGATAACACCTCATTCCAGAATGCTATTCTACAAGCACGCCCTCCACACAGACAGTGTCTAAGCAATATTTGATTGTGTTTGCTCTTCTGTAATCAGTGGGGACTGTGGATGTTTGGGTAAACTCCAACTGGGTAAATTGCTGCTTTGAGATGACCACATAGCCACTCCTGTGAGTTCCTAAGGTCTTGGCAGGTGAAGGAGAGAGATGCTGCAGGAGATACCTCAGCCCTGCTCATTTCCCTCCAACCCCCACAAGCTCCCAGTTTTATTCTCTGTTCTCCCCTCAACTAATTTTTCCTTGCTATTACATGTCTCATCTGTATCAAGCAGAAAAAGTTATGATTAAAAACTTGGGCACTTGACCCCCAAGGTTCCAAAGTCTGGCTCCCCTCTTCATGGTGGTGTGACCCTTGGGCAAGCTACTGTTCCATTTTTCAGTTTCCTTCTCAACAAACAGAGACCATGGCAGACTGAGTATAGTGAAGTTATGTAAATATGACCAGAGTAACTAGGAATGTTTGATACTATATTCCATCTTATTTTTTCTCAGTCTCTCCCTTTTTCTTCCTCAAGGCACTGATAACTCTACTTCGGTTAGCTGAGGCAGGCATCCTGTTTTACAAATGAGGAACCCTAGGTGCAGAGGCTGAGAAATTTGTGCCCTCTCCCCCTCCCCACCCCTTGCTCAGTCCCCTGAGCAGGTGGATCTGGTTTCAGTCCATCCATGCCTCCAGATCCCACACACTGAATTCCATGGGTTTACAAATAGACTCTACAGACCTCTTGCCAAGCACCATTTTCTACTGTCTGTCTTTTGTTCCCAGAACAAAGTGTTCTAGGAATAAAGCAGTCTGTGATTCTATAATCTGGGATAAAATCTAATTTTCTCAATCTTATCAGTGATTATCCTTTTTAGCTATCAGCACTCTGCATCATAAGAGGTGTATGAAGAAAGGCTTTTCATCATAAATCAAAAAGAAGCAATAATTTGTGATCAGAAGGTTTGGTTTGATATTCTGGCACTAGTCCTTGATAATCACCTCACAAAGGACACATTGGTTTGGGCTTGTTAATCCCACTTACCTCATTCATACAATCAGAATTAATAAAAAGTACCTGGCTACAGATATAAGCCATTACATCTGATATTACCTTTGATAGGGAGTTTTCAACCCTACAGGGCTGTGTAAACATTCATTTTCATCATTAAGATGAGACTAGACTTCAGTTTTTGACAATTTGCCTTCTTTTCTTTAACTAAAACATGTTGTTTCTTTGATTAATTGGAGAGACATAAGTCAGATTTTGTTCAAGTATTGCTTTACGTATGTCATTCTTATTGCATTGTTGATCTGTTTATGTAAGTTCTTATGTAATCATGCCTGAAAGTATAGTGTAGGTATAATTACCCACCTTTCCCTGAAACTTTGATCATTTGGAAATAAATAAGGAGGTCCCTTTGATTTGGTTTTCATTAAAGGCCTATGTTGTTTATTTTCTCTATAGAACTGGTTTTGTCAGGGATGTCTGTTTTGAACAAACACAATTGCTTTCCCACCAGGTAACGTGGTGAACGGAACGATCGGCAAACAGATGGTGGATATGCTGGTGGAATCTTCCAACAACGTAGAGATGATTCTCAAATTTTTTGACATGTTCCTAAAACTGAAGGACTTGACATCTTCAGACACATTTAAAGAGTATGATCCGGATGGAAAAGGAGTCATTTCCAAGCGGGACTTCCACAAAGCCATGGAAAGCCACAAGCACTACACACAGTCAGAGACCGAGTTCCTCTTGTCCTGCGCAGAGACGGATGAGAACGAAACCCTGGATTACGAAGAGTTTGTCAAACGTTTCCACGAGCCCGCCAAGGACATCGGCTTCAATGTGGCCGTCCTGCTGACCAACCTCTCGGAGCACATGCCCAACGACACCCGGCTGCAGACTTTCCTGGAGCTGGCCGAGAGCGTGCTCAACTACTTCCAGCCCTTCCTGGGCCGCATCGAGATCATGGGCAGTGCCAAGCGCATCGAGAGGGTGTACTTCGAGATCAGCGAGTCCAGCCGCACCCAGTGGGAGAAGCCGCAGGTCAAGGAGTCCAAGAGGCAGTTCATCTTCGACGTGGTCAATGAGGGGGGCGAGAAGGAGAAGATGGAGCTCTTCGTGAACTTCTGCGAGGACACCATATTTGAGATGCAGTTGGCGGCCCAGATCTCAGAGTCCGATCTGAACGAGAGGTCTGCGAATAAAGAAGAGAGTGACAAGGAGAGGCCCGAGGAGCAGGGGCCCAGGATGGGTTTCTTTTCCATCCTGACAGTCAGGTCGGCCCTGTTTGCACTCAGGTACAATGTCCTGACCCTCGTGCGGGTGCTCAGCCCAAAGAGCCTGAAGAAGCAGATGAAAAAAGTGAAGAAGATGACAGTCAAGGACCTGGTCACAGCTGTCTTCTGCTCCTACTGGAGCGTTTTCACCACACTCTTGCACTTTGTGGCCAGTGTCTGCAGAGGTTTCTTCCGCATCGTTTGTAGCCTGCTCCTGGGGAGCAGCCTGGTGGAAGGTGCCAAGAAGATCAAAGTGGCAGAACTGTTAGCCAACATGCCGGACCCCACTCAGGATGAGGTGCGAGGAGACGGAGAGGACGGAGAGAGGAAACCCGTGGAGGCCGCCCTTCCCTCTGAAGATCTGACCGACTTAAAGGAACTGACGGAAGAAAGTGACCTTCTTTCTGACATATTTGGCTTGGATCTGAAGAGGGAAGGAGGGCAGTACAAACTCATTCCTCACAATCCAAATGCTGGCCTCAGTGATCTAATGTCCAATCCAGTGCCCATCCCTGAGGCGCAAGAAAAGTTTCAGGTAATTTATCTCTAATCGTGGCAGCTCTCTCTCTGGATTTCAGGTGGGCACGATAAATGAGGACAGTTGGGGTTTGTGTTGGTGACATCAGTGTTAAGTACATGACTGGAATCTCAAAAGAAATGGCTTGTTGGTAGGCAAAGCTAGCCCTTTAAGAGTCTTTACAAATTGCTACGTTAACCTATCAAGATGTAAACTTAAGTAGTAGCCCCTAATGATATGAGACAGTTGGCCCCATCATTCCATCCTCAAATATTTTATGAATATTTGCTATGCATCTAACAATGTTGGAATCAAAAATAAAAAAGTAGGGCTGGGGGTGTGGCTCAAGTGGTAGAACACCTGCCTAGCAAGCCATGACTCTGAATTCAAATCATGCCATTTCCCCCAAAAAAGAAGTGGTCACTGCTCTCAAATGGCCTTAAATAATTGATTAAAGAGACAGAACACACATGAAGACGTAGAAAATTATTAAGTGTTAACCAGGATAGACAGTACGAGTGCGTATGTTAAGAAAATGCAAACAGCAGTATGGGTTATACTTAGATGAGGTGGGCTTTGTCTTGGCCTTGAAGGATGATGAGTGAGATTTGAGTAGGTGGTAGAACGGCGTTTCTGAAATGAGAAAAGAAAGTGGAAAGGAGCCAGGAGATCCATAGCCACTGTGTGGTGCAATAGGTTAGGTGTGCAGAAGAGGGAAGTGCTCCTTACTACCATGAAAAGCACGCATGGCTCTTTTACCTCAGGCTACACGAGTGTGTCCTGCATGGGTTATGGTTTGACACGTGGCCATGTGGCTCCCTAGATGAGTTCAGAGGTGATGTGTAATCCTGCTCTTTTTTCCCTTATTGACCTATTCAAGGAACAGAAGGCAAAAGAAGAAAAGGAAGAAAAAGAAGAAACCAAATCTGAACCTGAAAAAGCTGAGTATGTATACTTCCTGTTCACTTTCCTGTGTTTCAGGAAGTCTTTTTCTTGTCTTTTTTGGGAGCTAGGATGGACGCTCACCCTGTGAAAAATCAGGGTGACCAGATCTGCCATCTCAGTGATGGCGAGGACATCAGTCCACAATAAGGCTAAGTGTAGCCGCCTACCAGTGCGTTCCTCCTGGTTCCCTGAGGACTCCATACTTTTCCCTCAGCAGGAAAGACTCCAGTGATCCCATTAACACTGTCCAAAAGATGACATTACTTTAAAACCATGAATATATTTCTGTCCCTTAAAAAGAGAAGTGGAAACAAACATCACAAATTCAGTAGTATAGCATTCACCACCAGAGTGATTTCCTTCAAGGGTAGCCTCAATGCCAAGTGCATAAAAATCACCTTGGAGGAAAGAAGGGATTGTTTAAAACATAGACTCCCACCTGGGTGTGGTAGTGTATGCCTGTAATCCCAGCATTCCAGAGGCTGAGGCAGGAAAATCAAGGCCAGCCTGGGCTACATAATAAGACCCTGTCCTCAAAAAACAAATAACACAGATTCCTGGGCCCGCCCTAATTCTGACTCAGCAGGTCTGGTGTGTAGCCCAGGGATCTACATTTTCATCAACATGTCTGGTGCTGGAAAGCCCAGTTACAAACTGAGGCAGGAAATGCAGAGCTGGATGTGAAGCAATTAAATGCATGATTCTCTCTTCACAGTGGATTTATGGTAATAACTGAAAAGCCACATCTCCCAACTTCATGTCATTTTGTATGCTCCTTTTGAAAAATCTACAAAAGAAATAAAAATTTAGCATCTTATTTTTTTGCCTCAAATTTGATCGTGTCTTTGGCCTGTTCTCTTTGTGTGTCCCTTGCAGTCTGCACTGTGCATTGTCTACATCTCGCGTTGTTGCGTCAGTTGTAAAAACAGTCAGATGAATGACTATTAGAATAAAAGGCAGACATCTATAATGGGCCCTCACTGGCATTTCAGTGGTTTACTTACACCGTCTATGGATGTGGTTTATGTATCTATGCTTTCACTTTTAGGAAAGATTGATATTTTGAACCTAGGAGGGATTTTTGTTTGTTTGGTGCCACTGGGGTTTGAACTTGGGGCCTTGTACTCACTCGAGCAATGGCCCCGGCCCTTTAGCTTCAGTTATTTTTGAATAGAATGTCATGTGTATGTCCAGGCTGGCCTGGACAGTGATCCTCCTGGTCTCTACCTCCCAAGTAGCTAGGTTTACAGGAATGGACCAGTACATATGGCTCCTGGAGGCATTTTTAGTATAAGATTCTAGTTCTCCTAATTCTGTTGTTTTCTGGAATTAATATTATTAACAATTATATTAAAATTAATATTTTATTGAGTAAAGTTAATTAAACTTAATATATCAGTACATTAGTATACTTACATACTTTGTACATATGAAAAATCAAGTGCAAAGGCCTATGATTTTAGATCTTAATGGCTGGACAATGTTAAAAATTGTGGTTGAAGAGGTAAGAGTGCCTGCCTGATATGTTGGAAAAAAACAAATAGCCTTCATTGTTCTTTTTCCACTGAAATGTTTCTGTTGCACAATTGGAAGAGAATCTGCTCCATAGGGTGTAAAGACTGCAAACCTGTAAGCATCCGGTAGACCTGAACCTCACAGAATTATCTCTGTCTGTGGGGAACTGCGATCAGCAGGAAATCATGTCCCTGATTCTAAAATCCAGAAAATTAGTTTTCAAAAATGACACCAGCATCTGAAGTCTTTGTTCACGTGTACATCTCTACATAGCACCTGTTTAGTTGTTTCGTTTCTGGACAGCTTGTATTTCATTCATTTTCACAGGGGGGAAGATGGAGAGAAAGAAGAAAAAGCCAAAGAAGACAAGTGCAAGCAAAAGTTGAGGCAGCTTCACACACATAGATATGGAGAACCTGAGGTCCCAGAGTCAGCATTCTGGAAGAAAATCATTGCCTATCAACAAAAACTCCTAGTAAGATGTTTTGCAATGAATATTGTTACTGATGTATTGTGAGAATAATAATTCAGGCTCAGTGAATATTCATTGAACTTCCCATGGAGGGCAGTCACGGAGCTGTTGAATCCTGCAGATATAGTTGTCTGCTGGCGTTGGTTCCAGGACCCCCTTCCCAGTACCAGAGCCCTGTATATAAATGGCAGAGTGTTGGCATATAGCCCACACACATCCTTCTGTAGACTTAAAGTATCTCTAGGTTATTTTATAATGCCTAGTGCAGTGTGAATGCTGTGGAATTGTTAATTATGTATTGTTTAGGGGAAAATTACGTATTTGTTCAGGAGACAAAAGTCCAACCATGTTTAGTATAGACACATTTTTAAAAAATATATATTTTCTAGCTGTGTTTGCTGAACTTCGTGGATGAGAAACTGCAGATTCAAGGGCTGACTGTATTTTGTCTGCCTGTCTCGGTGTGTTTATTCTTTTTTTTTTTTTGATCATCTTGCTAAACTTTTATTCAAGTGAATAGAACCCTGTGCTCGTTATGAAAATTTGAATTGGCATTTTCTGTTTAACAGCTGGGAGTCCTCTCCCATTTTAGAGTCAGTTTTCACTCAGGAAGCATGAAGATTCTGTCTACTGTCTCTGTCCCTTTCATTTGCTTGGCACTTCTAGTCTTTATGGCTGTAATAGTAGTCTTTCTGACAGGACTGTGCAGAGGTGGGAGGAGAAAAGGAATGATAGAGACTGAATAATATTAAAACACATTGCATCTGTGTACAGAGATAGTAATGGGGGGGTGAATCTGATTGAAGTACAATATATACATGTGTGAAATACCAAGGCAAAACCCCCTTGGAATAATCAATATACACTGAAAAAAAAATGGAGGAAGGGAAGGAAAAACAGGTCTCATCCAGGGGTGGGTACCAGTGTGTGTTGAGGGGGGGGCAGTGTTTAAACAGAGAGGGTGAAGGAGGGTGAATATGGTTGGTGTAGTTTGTATATGTGTATGTCGGTGTGTTTATTCTTACGGTGAATGCCTCCCTTGGTCAGACCTGTCACCTCTCCATATATTCATAACACTTGAAACCCTTTGACTTAGGGACCGCCATCACAGTGTTCCGTCACCCTTTCATTACAAAATCCACTTATGCTGGTGGAGTGGCTCAAGTTGTAGATCACCTACATAGGAAGCATGAGGCCCTGGGTTCAAACCCTAGGACTGCCAAAAAATCCAATTATGAAATTACTAAATCAATGAGCCAACTTCCCATTGATGATAATTCAAAATTATTCTTCAAGTAGAGACAAATAAAAGAAAAAAAATGAAAGCATGAGGAGAGAGAAGATGGTTCTTTATGTAGTGTCCCTTGCATTCTGCAGAAGTGTTCCCAAGTGTTATGTTTTCCTGAAATTGCTTATTACAAAGTAATCTGAACATGATTTTATGGATAACTAGGTAATCATTGATTCAGCATGCTGGTAGCAGAGATAGCTCTTTATAGATGGATTCTGCTGTACTTTGCAATAATCTTGGTGGGTTCCAGAAGAGAATGTTTCAGGGCAGGTGTATAGGCCAGGTAGTTGAGGCTTTTCCCCATCTTTCTGTCCCAGGGTTTACATGTTCTCTGTCTCCGTCTCCATCTTCCTGCTTCTCTTTGCAGTTGACTGTCCATGCTTGCCAGTTGTGCACAAGACTAATCATGGCCACATCAGGCCATCACAGGTCCCCCACCCTCCATATATTTGTGATCAGTATGCTCAGATAAGCAGGGTTAGCTATCTGAGTCTCTGTCACCTGGTTCTACCTTCCAAGGAGAGCCATTGTGACTGGCCCAGTTCAGGTGTGGTGGTCAGCCATGGTCTAACAAATTGTGGCAGTAAAGCCGGGAACCTTGCTGGAGAAATGACCCCAATAGAGATGGGTGTATATGTGGAGGGTATATTGAGAGGTCCCAGGAACCGTTGCTGGAGAAATGGCCCCAACGGAGATGGGGGTGTGTATGTGTGGAGGGTGTAATGAGAGTTGTTATTACTCTGCTATACTTTACGATGCTAAGCTTTGGCACATGTCCTTGTGTAATTAACAACAATTATTATTACAACAAATACTTGATTTCTCTTGCCTACTTCCTTAAACCCACTTCTTCTAGGCTGTTCTATTGCTTTTTTCCAACTCAATAAATTGTGCCAACCATTTAGTTAGTAGCTCAGGCTCCCAAATGCAGACGTTATCATCCCTGAGACCTCTCTTTCTTTCCCACCTCAAACATAATCCAGCAGTAATTCTCAGCTCTTCCTTCCAAATATACCCAGAGTCAACCCAATACTTGCCATCCCCAAGCCACAACTGAGGCTAAGCCACCATCAACACCACTTCTTCCCACAGCCCTCCAGAACTTTCTAACCTGTCCCCTTTTCTACACAGTGGCTGGAACAGTGTTTCTAGATCATAATCTAATTACACTAAACCCTCTTCAAGTTCTTAATGCATCCCATCTCTCCTAGAATAAAATAGTAATTATAATATAGTAATATTATTTTATCTATTATGCCATAGATATGCTTATTAATATAAGATTAAACTAGCTTTCCTTATATTAACTCACTCAGTCCTCAAAGCAAACTTATAAGGCAGGTTCTGTTGTTATGCTCATATCACAGATGAGAAAAGTGAAGTTTTTAGAGGAATAAAGTCCTTTGTCCACATTACAAATCACAGAAATGGTAAGGGATGGTCTTCCTATTCTGACAGTGTGACCCCAGAGGTCATAAATGGATTCAGAGGTCATGAACCAGGGCATTTTAAATGACAACATCAACTTTCATCAGAAACTTCTGATGCCTTCCCCTGCTCCCCTGTCTGCTCCCTGTTCCTGCCTCCTCCCTTCTTCTCCTGAGGCTTCCTGAACTCCATCCTCAAACACATAGCCTCACTGTCACCCCAAGGCCCTGTCTTCATATCCCTGTCTCTGACCCATCCTTCCCCAGATGTTGGCTCAACTTGTTCCCCTGTTGCATCCACGCTGGTGCTCAAAGTCACCTCCTGAGGCATGCCTTTCCTGACTGCCTATCCAAATCCCACCTCCTTCCTTAATCCCTCAATCCAAGGTCTTTTTCTTTATGGCACCTGGCACTTCCTGGAACTGGTTTTTATTTGTGAGTGTGTTATTCGTCGTCCTCTCTGTGGTGTCAGAAGTTTCTTCCTTATGTGTTACAGCACAGAGAATGGCGCTTTATGCATAGCCATTAATAGCTTAGAGGAAACAAATGATAGCTTTAGAGGAAATGAATGGATGCTTTATTTAAATTGTCAGAACATTTCAAGTCTCTGGAACTTTCATAACTTTTTTCCTCTTCAGAACTATTTTGCTCGCAACTTTTACAACATGAGAATGTTGGCCTTATTTGTGGCGTTTGCAATCAATTTCATCTTGCTCTTTTATAAGGTATGTACATCTGAGTGTTTTAATGACCAGACTAAAAGTACAAATAGACTGAGATGCATGGACAGATTGCCCAGATCTGTTAGCGAACACATCCAAACCTATTCTCTAATACATTTGAATGAAAGAAGAAAGCTGAATTCCTGACACATCATTGAATGAGAAATGCCTCAGCTGGCTTCAGCTGAAGTCTTTTGGGTTTATCAGAGGGTCCACCACATTGTACCCAAGGGGAAATTAGGTGAATTTCTTATTTGTTACTATCTGGATGTGGCTTATCCCATGTCACATCAAATTATTTAGGGAAATTAGGAAGAAAACCATTTAATATTATCCCGCATGCTTTGGAATCCTTACAACTCCTGGTTAGGTAAGAATGAACTTTAAAGTATATGGATTACTTGCCTTTGGTGTTTGAGAAGTTGTCTTTTTATCCTTTACCTTTTAGTGTTTTCATTATGCAACAACTTCCCATCCAGCTACTTGCTAAAAAGGCTGTGTTCCCAGTCTCTTGTTTGCAATCGCAAATTAGATGCAGCAAACTGACTGTGTTTTAAATGGTTTGAATCAGGTCTCCACTTCTTCTGTGGTTGAAGGAAAGGAACTACCCACTCGAAGTTCCAGTGAAACCACCAAAGTGGCCGTGAGCCTGGACAGCAGTTCACACAGGATCATCGCGGTTCACTACGTCCTGGAGGAGAGCAGTGGCTACATGGAGCCCACACTACGCATCCTTGCCATTCTTCACACGGTCATTTCCTTCTTCTGCATCATTGGATACTACTGCTTGAAAGTAAGCCCGTACATTAGATCAAGGGCAAACACAACAATGGGATTAGACTATGAGCACATGATAAAAGCGAGAGCGCACAAGGGAGGGTGAGGATAGGTAAGACACCTAAAAAATTAGCTAGCATTTGTTGCCCTTAACGCAGAGAAACTAAAGCAGATACCTTAAAGCAACTGAGGCCAATAGGAAAAGGGGACCAGGAACTAGAGAAAAGGTTAGATCAAAAAGAATTAACCTAGAAGGTAACACACGCGCACAGGAAATCAATGTGAGTCAATGCCCTGTATAGCTATCCTTATCTCAACCAGCAAAAACCTTGTTCCTTCCTATTATTGCTTATACTCTCTCTACAACAAAATTAGAAATAAGGGCAAAATAGTTTCTGCTGGGTATTGAAGGGGTGGGGGGAGAGGGAGGGGTGGAGTGGGTGGTAAGGAGGGGGTGGGGGCAGGGGGGAGAAATGAACCAAGCCTTGTATGCACAAATGAATAATAAAAGAAAAAGAAAAAAAAAAGAAACATTCCCAGTGTTCTTAGGAAAAACAAGATAGTTAATTCAATAAATGTGATATTTGTTAAAAAAAAAAAAAAAAAGAAAGTAAGCCCGTGCAGCATCTGGGTACCTGCGTGCGTCTGTGCGCGCGTGCCTCCGAGAGAGCCAGCTCTGGGATGCAGATTTTGTTTGCATGAACTTTACTTACAAATGTGGGGCAAGGGGAGGAAGGGAGATAGGCAGAGGGAAAAGGTGGGTTAAGGTGCGTGCATAGCTGGGCTTGGCCTGTCTGTATCTACAGCGATCAATCCTTAGCTCCAGACTGTTCTGGAAAGGGGTGTTGTTCTTAGTATTCACTTACTTGTTGGTACTTATTGATGCAATGGGCATTCTCACCTAGAACTTGGCCCCACAGAAGTGAGCTTCTCCCCTCACTGAGTCTCACAGCCAAGCTCCACTGTGTCAGGACTTATAGAGGGAGGCATTTTGCTTGTTCTGTTATTAGGTAAGCACCTCTTGCCATCTTTGCTTTATAGTTTATGCAACTTCACCTGGAAAGTGATGCAGCTTTATCCCTAAAGACATGCTAGGGAAAAATAAAATTTGGTGAACAGTCTTCAAGATAGCCTCTCTCTGAGTGCTCAGGGCTGCCCATTACCTGTGCAAACCTATTTATCATTGTCACCAGGAGACCAAAATGCCTTTATTTTACATCCCTATGCATCTGATTGTAAAGTTTCCAGAAGACTTAAAAAGGTAGAGCTCAGGGATAAAAGACTAGAGTATAAAGCATTTTTTTTTCAGGAAATTTATCTTCTCCTTTCCCTGTTTGTCTTTTGTGGGTAAATATTCTTAGATACTTTCAGAAGGTCTGCCTCTTTCTTCTGTCTGCGCCTGTGTAAAGTCTGTCCATCTGAAAAGAGAATCAATAGGTTCTACAGACATCTTGGCAAACTGACAAAGATTTTTGCTGATGTTGAAATTAAAATTCATCTCCACATAGCATGTGGATATGCTGAGCATGGAATTGCTAAAGAGATTTCTCAAATAAAGCTGCATTTTTGAGAGTAGCATGCATTTTGGAGGGTTACTAAGAGTGCTAAGGGTTTTTTTTTTTTTGCATCCATTCACATTGAGATATATATAGAGAAAAGGACAGTTTTTCCATAAGTACCTTTTTTTCTTTTTAGCATTTAGAATGGTAGCATTAGTACAATTATCTATGAACCTCTATGTATTTAAGACATATGCGTACATATAATATCTATTCTGTCTTCTGGTTTTCCAAAAAACCTTCTAGATGCTTCTTTTTGTCTGAATGTAGCTAGTGCATTTTCTCTCAATTTTTACCTTCCTGCAAGTACGTTGGAAATATTTCCTTCCCAAAGTTGTTTTGTGAAGATAGTGACCACAGGGAATGCCAGTAAATCTAAACTGATTTTTGCATGTTATTTTTCATCTGTAGGTACCATTGGTTATTTTTAAACGAGAAAAGGAAGTAGCCCGAAAATTGGAGTTTGATGGACTTTATATCACAGAGCAGCCTTCAGAAGATGACATTAAAGGCCAGTGGGACAGACTCGTAATCAACACACAGTGAGTGAAGACTTACAAGAGACATTTCCGTACTCAGAAACATCAAGACAGAGAATATAATTTGCTGGATGTTCTGCTGATTTGTCCAAAGTTTAGCGCAAGTGAAAAATATTTAGATATTCAGCCAAGAAAATCAAAAGACTAAATGCCACCAGCCTACTAATGGATGCCTGCAATTTTTGCCCTCTGTGTTCTGTGTCCTTAATCAAAAAGGGCTTTGCGGCCATTTCCACAGCGCTGATGGGACTTCACAGGCATTGCTCCGTGTTCAGGGAAGTGTGCATTGCTCAGTGTTCAGGAGGCACAACATGCACAGTCACTGAGTTATCTCCTCCGAAAGCTAAGGAAGCCAAAATTATTCATTAAGGAAAGAGTTGTAGCATTAGAGGCTAACATTTTTAATGTATCTGAGTTACAGATTTTCAGCTGATGTGGCAGGCAGCCTTACATAAACCTACCTAAGTGTTTCCACATGATGTAAAACAGAAAACAAATGCTTTCTCAATCCAGCTAGTATTTAGTGTTGAGCTGCTGCTCCAGTTATAAATCCAGCACAGCATTTAATTTTTCGCCCTACAAGTGTTAGTGGTATATTTTTGAGTAGCTCATACTACTCAGGAATGAAATATCTTCTTCCTTTTAGTGTGATTCATCTTGCTTATTCCTAGAAGTTTCTGGTAGATTCTTAGTTTACCAGTGGGGACGATGTATTTGTGCATTGTACATATTATTCTAAATGTAAATGTTTTGTTTACATTTCTACCCGTTAATGCAAACACTAATTAAGTTCATCCCTTTTAGTAAACTGTATTGGTCAAGGTGCCAGAGTAATGGATTAGTTATAGGCTTGAAGTTGCTTTGAAAATAACTGGTGAGACATTTTTTGTTTCATAAGAGAACTGATGGCTGATTTCTATATGTTTTACATTTTAAAGACAGTTGACAAGAAAATCTATGTATTGATATGTTATATACAAATGGTAAAAATTATATACTCTTTATTAACAAATGTGATTATATTCTTCTCCATTAAAGTATCATCCCATAATCTTTTTATCTGATTGACATACATATATTTGCATACTAATATTTTAAATAGTACTTAATATGCTTATGATACAGAAAAATTATGCAGTAAGATGGTAACCTAATTCACTGTACCTTTATTTGGATGGCAAGATATTATTTTAAGTAGTTTATTTATTTCAAGTGATATGTTATTTATCATTTTAAAATATAATACTGTTTTACTTTTATGCTTTTATATTTTTTAGGTCATTTCCCAACAACTACTGGGATAAATTTGTTAAAAGAAAGGTAATGTTTCTTAGAAGACATAAATTCTCTATTATTTTCTAAAAGTGCAATTCAGATTTGAGTTTGATGTGGTTTAGATGTAGCATGAGATATTGAGGTATGCTTTATCTGCCAGTTAATATGATTTCAAAGTGTCAGTAGAACTAAATGTGCCTTTAAGAATTGCACATCAGAAATTCATACTTTGTACCTCCAAAATAAACAGGCATTGCCTCACCACCCATCCTGATGCAGCTGAGTCAACAGTGTTCTGTCTATGAGAATAACAAGAATTGGCAAAAATTTTCTTTGAAATTGTCTAGGTGACTTAAGTTGGCTAAAGGCTAATTTTATTTTCTTTAAATACCTTTAAAGACGTCTTTTTTAAAGGTAAGGTTTGCTAAAGGCTAATTTTATTTTCTTTAATTACCTTTAAAGACGTCTTTTTTAAAGATAAGGTTTTATTATTGTAATGGCTGCTTTGGGGACCATAGAGAAGATGCTGTCATGGGTTCAGCCATGACCATGGTGCATGCTAAGCTCTGATGTTTAACTTCTGATTTGCAAGTTAGCAGTCAGTTCTGTCCTACCTGTTCCACAGGAATCTATCTTGGGTCACATTCATGTTGAATGCAGTACTTGTACTGTGACATATAAGTAACAGTGCTTGTATGTCATAAACGGCTGTGCACTAATCATTCTTTTTGTGCCTTCTGGCTTATTCTCTGACCCTTTCTAGTGGCTAAGCTAATTCAGGTCACACATTATTTCGTAGTGAATTCTAGTTCCAGTGTGTATCATCTGGAGTGAACAGCCAGATGCACCTGTTGGATGAAGTGGTTTTGCTCTTTGCACCCTTTGATTCAGTGCCTCTCAAAAGGTAGTTGTCAACTGGCCAGTGAAAATTTTTGTTACCATCCTGAGCAGAAATAGGGAATTTATGCCAAGAATTTAAATTTCAATCAACTACATCATTAAACCCATTGTGTGTGTGTCCCCACACTTTCCAGCTGAAAGAAGCAGTGTGTTTGTTGGTTTTTGTGTGTGTTTGTAAGATTTTTGTCTCCCGTGGAGTTGGCCTTCTGAGTAGCATTGCACAAATGCATATGGGCTCATCCACATTAGGCAAAGCTTTGAAAGAATAAAGATAATTTTAATTAGGTAATTTGAGCACTTTATTCTTATTAATTATTTCATGGAATAATGATGAATCATCTAAATCACTAAAGTATGAATTGCCCTGAAGGAAACAATATATTTGCAGTCAAAGAAATAGCTAACTAACTAAGCTGTGCTAGTAGCTCAGCCCATTCCTGGCATTCCGGCTACAGTCCTCATCTTGTCTCCACCCATAGAGAACTCACGCATAGGTCTGTCTACCCAGCCCATCTTAGCACTGAGAATAAAGACAGGCACGTTATTTCATTATTTTACTTACCGTAAGTGGGTAAGAGGCAACTTAACTACCATTGCTCTTTTACACATTCTTTTCATTCACCTGCTCTATACATTCAGAAAAGGGCCTATTTTCATTTCTGTGAGTCTTTTCTCCCCATCTACACTTCCTTTTTCATCACTCTGATCTTTCTCTCCTATAGTCCCCTCCTCTCATCTCTCCTATTCTCTTGGTGCCTTATCCCTGCTTCCCTTCTCCTTTGTTTCCATTTTTACTACTGAGGATCTGTCTTCCCTCTTTCTTTCATTTCTTTCCCACTCCCTCTGTTCTCATTGCTGTGGGACTCTCATGTATGATACATGAACTTAAGGCTGAGAGGAGCTGTGTGTGGACTTGAACACCCTGAGCTCAAGGGTGGGTGTGAGCCACATCCAAGGACTGAGATAGAAATAGAGCTAGTGGGAAATTCAGGAAGAGGTGACAGAATGAGAGAGGCATCAGGAAGCTGAGCAGAGATGTGAAGAAATGATTGTAAAGATGGGCATGACATCTGTACTCAAAAAGAATTAACATGAGGTCACGAGGAAAGGGATGACAGGGACAGCTTGCAGGAGTCGAGACTGCTGAAGTCAGAATTGCTGGAGTTAGGACTCTGAGAAGAGTGAAGTGGGAAATAGGGGACTGTGGTTAAACAGTTGAGTGGTTGAAATCCTACTTGGGAGGGCATGTAACTGCTGTGATGTGCAACCTAGTGGACTGTAGAGAAGTGGACTGTAGGGTCTGTAGAGAAGACTGTTGACTGGGAAGTCGGGCATTGCCTAGATGCTACCTGAAGCCATCCTTTGCTAAGTTTTACAACCTTGGGCACATTCTGTTAAGTTTTGTAAGACAGTTTCTTTATCTGCAGAATAGGATGCTAATGAAAGGCAACTTACTTATTATGATAGTCACATAAGGACAAAACTTAGAACTGTGACAGTCACGTGGAATACAGCGAAATTCCTGCCAGAAAGCATGAGTTTAGTGAAGGTACTCTTCTTCACTTTCCTTCAACTCCCACGCTTTGACTGCAGACCGCCATCTTCAATTTGCATGCCTCCCTCTTTGGAAGGAGCACTCTTATTCCTCAGAGAGCTATTTAAAAAATGCTAAAGACTTATTTAAACCTTTGTGTGTGATCAGAAGATGGGCTGTGTGCTCAATTCTTAAGTCATCTTTAAAACATGGCAAATATACCATACGTACAAAAATACTTAGATATTTGTTTACACACACACATAGATGATGTTGCTTAATGGTTGGGATCAATTAAATGCTGTTCTCCTGACTGCAGGTTATGGATAAATATGGGGAGTTCTATGGCCGAGACAGAATCAGCGAGTTGCTGGGCATGGACAAAGCAGCGCTGGACTTCAGCGATGCAAGAGAGAAGAAGAAGCCCAAGAAAGACAGCTCCTTGTCAGCTGTGTGAGTGTTGCTTCTGCTCTGCCCTCTATGTGGGAAGGTTGATGGAGAAAAAGTAACCCATTTCTGAACCTGCTAGTACACTGATTTCCTTCCCCCACTGTTGGAGGACTAGGCAGGTGAAAGCAGTACATAACGTCCATTGTCACCTGTCTGGGTAATTTGGGGTGCTCAGCGTCCAGCTTACAGTGTACTCTTGAGCCAAGGCCTATAGCCAAAGGAAGGCTGAGCTCTGATTGACCTGGATCAGCTATGGTTCACCCCTGTGAGTAGGGTCGATTTCATTCAACGTGAGGAGCACTGTATGGACAAGAGCGTTGTGTACCGCATGAAGGAAATTCTGCTTAATGATAGCAGTAGGGTCACCTAGCATATGACAGAGATGGAAATCACCATAAGGGTAATTTTTAAAAATAAAGTTAGAAGCTGCTATGCAAAATTCAAACATCCTGAAAAAAACCTTTATTTTGCTTCAGGTTGCTTTCATAGAAAATAATTGTGCTCTCAAATTACTCTATAATTTTTCAACTCTTCCTTATATTGAAACCTATTGAGAATATTCATAGAATTTTTTAATAAAAGGCTCCTGTAGCACTAAAATTAATTATAGCTCAAAGACAACTTTATTACCTTTAAAAAAATGCAGCTGCGTATGATGCTTATCTGTAGTTCCCGCACTTGGGAGGGAGGGAGGATCAGGTGAGCCTAAGAGTCCCAGAGCAACATACACCCCCATCTCAGAAAAACCAAACCAAAACAAAGAAAAATCCTAAACTAAGGTTAAGTAAACCCACAACCTTTCAGGAAAAATCTAAGACGTGAACTCTGCTTAGCAACTATGTGTCTTTACACTTGTAATTTCAAGTTGGCCTAATTTAAGGAAAGGATTAAAGAAGTAATCAAAGGCTGCATCATTAAGTCTAGAAAACAATTCTCCACCTCATTACACGAGATCGTATGCTTTCCAATCCTAGCATGTCAATTACTTGGAATCGGAATGCTGAAAAGCCAAGAAAGGTATAATATCTAACCCAGAAATCCGTGGCAAGATCTGTAAAGACGAGAATTAACAGGCAAATTCTAATATATGTATTTTTTAACCTGCAAGATCGAGAATATTTATGTTCAGATTTATGCATTCAGTACATACTTATTGAAAGACAGTTGACATGTCTGGGTAGCTCATGGCCCAGGGAGAGAGGCCCACATGTACGTGCACGTGTATACACACGCCAATGCGTGCACATGTGCGCGCACACACACACACACACACACACACACACACACACACAGCTGCAGACAAAGTGAAGGACGATAGAGAGAAGAGTCTACAGAGTAGCAGGGGACCCACGGCCTGGAGAGAAACAGGAACAGGGCAGATGAGGTTACTGCTAGGGAAGGGAAACAAAAGCAAAACCCTTTCATCTGTAAAACAATGATAATTATAAAACAAGTGTGTATGTTTAGACCAGTTTTTTTTATTTGAACCAAAAAAACTTCAGGAATGCAATTACAGATATATCATGAAAGTAAGTGAGGGAATTGTGAAGCACACATGTTGGGTAAGTTAGTGCAGTTTCCAGTAATAATGGTCCCGTACAAAGTGAGCTGAGCTTATGTTTAATATGGGAAAGGAAAAGGTGGACAGTGAAAAGCTCTTCTTAATAACAGGAGATGGAGGAGGTGGTCTTTTGTTTTGTTTTTCAAGGCCCTGGTGGAAAGCCTCCCAGAGCACTGCAGATGTGCCTCCTACATAGCTCTGCTGGTCCCTTGAGCCAGGGACAGAACTGGTGTCCTGAGCAGGTTGCCAGCCCCGCCCATGGGAGGCAACCTTTGAGTCTTTGATTCATTTGCATATCTACAAATTCTTTTTATGTTGTTGTTTGTTATTCCAGGCTGAATTCTATTGATGTGAAGTATCAGATGTGGAAGCTGGGAGTCGTTTTCACTGACAACGTAAGCCTGCTTTCTCACCTCAGCAGAAAGTGCACTCTTGATTAGATGAATTGGTGAGATTCCTGCAGATGGAAGGAGTTAGTCAAATACCAAAGCATTTAATGCACACCATACCCAAGCAAGATCCAGGGACAAAAGTTTTGTTCAGATCCTTCCCAAACGAGGAGCTCCTGACTCCACTGGCAAAAACATACCCTTCACAGCAGAAACCCTTACCCCAAAAAGCTAGAACCATTGCAGATTTTATTCTGCTCCATTCACTGCTCCCCCCACAAAGTGTACACACTTTCTAGCCTGTATGAAGTTTATTATGTATATTAATAATAATGCAGGCAATTTCTGCAAATGCTTCCAGTTACACTGTTAGCTTTCAGTAACAGCAATGTATTTTGGTTTCTCCTAGACTCACTTTGATCATGGAAATGCCTGGTTAGCAAGATAGTTATAACTGGGACATCTGGATGAATGCTAGTCTAGTGTGGGAACGAATGACGAAGGAGGGAAGGAAAAGAGGGAGGGGAAGTTGGTTGATTCTTTGGTTGACTATAGACAGAGGTTCTCAACCAGGGACAGCGTTGCCCCAGGTAATAATTTGCAATGTCTGTAGACATTTTTGATTGTCACAGCTGGACGCCACATCCATCTAGTAAATGCTGCCACGTGTCCTGTCCTATGGTCACAGGGCAGCCTCTGCAACAGAGCATTATCCAGAATACCATGAGGGCTAAGGTGAGAGACCTGCTGTCAGGAAGTCACTAACTTTTTCTCCAAGGGAGGATGACTAAGAGAAGTCAAATAACTTTGAACCTTTTAGAACAAAGCAAATAAGAATAAAATATGACACAGACCTAATACACCTAAAACCATGGTCTAAGACGATGGGAATGAGTGGTTTAAGCAGTAGACAGAGTGGCCTTTGACAGTTGTGCTGGGTTTGCTGATGTGCTTTCCCGCTGTCCCCACAGTCCTTCCTCTACCTCGCCTGGTACATGACTATGTCTGTCCTCGGGCACTATAACAACTTCTTCTTCGCTGCCCATCTTCTTGACATCGCTATGGGATTCAAGACTTTGAGAACCATCTTGTCCTCCGTAACTCACAATGGCAAACAGGTAAAAACTGATCTTTCTCTGCCCTTCCCAGAAAAACTAAAAAAAGCAAAAAAGTCAGCACAAAACAACCCTTGAATGACAATGTGCTGTTATAAAGACTTTTTTTTTGAAAGGAGAGGCTGTATCTTTTCTCTTCTAAACTTTGGGGCTTTGTGCTTTGGAGACCCCTAGACCTGAGTTCAAGTTTTGACTTAACTAATTTAGCTGTGTTTTCAATGTTTTTCAATCTCAACTCCTTTCATAAAGTGAAAAATAATGAAAGTACTTACCTTGTTGGGTTTTTGTGAAAATTAAGTGAAAACAAATGTGCAGGACTTAGAACCACACAGATTAAGCACTGAGGAATTTAGCTACTGTGTGGGTCATGATACAATTTTTGCTCTATGGGAAATCAAAATATATTGAAGCAGCGAGGTGTGCAGGTGACTCACGCCTGTAATCCTAGCTAATCTAGAGGCAGAGATCCGGAGGGTCGAGGTTCTAAGCCAGCCCCAGGCAAATAGTTTGAGATACCCTATCTGGAAAATACACAACACAAAATAGGGCTGGTGGAGTAACTCAAGTGGTAGAGCGGCTGCTTATCAAGTCTGAAGCCTTGAGTTCAAACCCCAGTACCGCCAAAAAAAAAAAAAAAAAGTTGCAGCATGCTGATATGTTAGCTGTGTTACTCATGACACCTAAGGTGCTCCAGTTTAGTTTAGCATAATTTTTAAAATTTGGATGTTCATGTACTCTTTCTTCCACTTTTAAGTTGAACAACAAAAAAATAAAATTTTATACTTGGCATGGTCATACTGAGTTGGAGGAAACAAGGTCTACGTCCAGATAATCAACTTCCGTTCTGACAGAACTCAGTGTTCCATGTTAAAACTTTCCTTGGTGTCATACCTATTGCAGGAGCATACATTTGTCAGTTCCTATGCTATTTTTCAAGTGTGTATGTTATTTATTTGGATTAACATAGTCCTTCTTTTCCAGAGTCTTCTAGGCCAGCACATTTTAAGATCAGTGCCCCTCCAGAAAATTTGAACTGTGTCCACAGTTTCACACCCATTATTGCAATCCTTAGTTACCTAAATTCCAGCATATGTCACTTTGGTTTCTGAGTATGACCATGACACAGTACAGTGACAAAGGTCCACTGTGCACTTCACCAGCCCTGGAGATTATTTTGCTCTTATGTGAGGAACTGGAGATGCTGAATCTATTGTGTTTCCACACAGAAGGTCTGGTGTGACTTTCAATCAATTTCTGAGCCTCTGTGAGTAGTCTGCCTTACCCTTTTGAGGTGCTGAATTTCCACTGACAGAAATATACAGAGCTTAGTCACCTAACAGGGAAAGCGTACAAAAATGTACAGTACCGCTGTATTCCACCTAAAGAGGCCAATTAAGTCCTTTACATTCTCAAGATAATTGCAAAGTGACTTTATAAGTGCTTAATGAATACCAGCAACTATAGTCAGGAACACAGCTGTGTTATTTTCAGAGAAGGGCCCATAAAGTTGCACGTTTTGGGCTGCAGGTGTGGCCCAAGTGGTAGAGTGCATGTCTCGCAAGTGTGAAGTCCTGAGTTCAAACTCCAGGACCACAAAAAAAAATATTTTAAAAGATGGCATATTTTAGAATGTTTAGAATTTCTGTGATATCACTAGAAATATATTTTCACTAAAAAGTCACATTTTAGTAAACCACATGTATGTTCTATAAGATATATCTATCTCTATATAGAATATATCATTTGAAATTAAAGATTGCATAGAGCTGAAAAAAGACTTTTCCAACTGATTTAATTGTACATTGATAAAACTAGCCTTCAAAAAGTGCTGGTTTTAACTGTAGTGTTTTTCATACTTCAATTATTGTCTTATGTTTTAGTTTTATATTTAAAAAAATCATAGTCTATTTTATTAACAGTTGTGGCCCCAGATTTCAGAAGCATTAAAATTCCTATTTAGGATATGATTAAAAAAAAGAAATAATTTACCACCCTTCTTATTAACATAACAAAATGAGGTGGGTTTTATTAGAAATATCACTTATTTACATAAAATAGACCTCAAAAAAGGTGGGGAAATGTCCTTCCTGTAGTAACCAGATATTTGGATGATACAAAATTGAACATTTTAAGCTGCCTTCCAGTATTATCCATTCTATTTAGGTATGAAACAAAATGGTAATGTATTCATACTCTAGCTATACTATGTGTTTTGTATCCAGTTAAGTAGTGAGGTTTTGCATAAAATACTCTGACAACTTGATAAAATAAAGAGAATATATAAATAAATTTCTCCACTGGTGGGGTAGGCAAAGTTTACTGACTGCTTGTAGCCAGTAAATCCAGCTGTGCTCTCACTAGCATGCTCCCCTCCAGTGCAGGTGACAAGTACACCAATCTGTGCCTGTGTTTTCTCATGCATGCTCCATATCCCCTTGCTTTCCAGCTTGTCCTAACTGTTGGTTTATTAGCTGTCGTCGTATACCTATACACTGTTGTGGCATTCAATTTTTTCCGAAAATTCTACAATAAAAGTGAAGATGGTGATACACCAGACATGAAATGTGATGACATGCTAACGGTAAGTTCATACCTTTGACCTCACATGAATGAAAAAGTTACTCAGCGTCTCCAAAGTGGTTGTGTATTTCCTTTTATTCGTGAAGAATAGAAAGCATTGTACACATCAAAAATTTGTGTGGCTTTAAAAAAGATCAGTCAGCTGGATGTGATGGTGGTGGGCACACAGTTGCAACCCCCTGGACAGGGAGGGAGGAGGATCACAAGTTCAAGGCCAACCTGTGCAACATAGCAAGACCCTGTCTCAAAAACCAAGCACTGGGAATGTAGCTCAGTGGTAGAGTGCTTGCTTAGCTTGTGCAGTCCCTGAGTTTGGTCCCTAGCAAGACAAAATAAATAACTAAAACTGAAAAATCATCAGTCTTTCTTTGTAGTAGAACATGAGGGCTATTCCTGTCAACTTTTACAGTCTCATAATTTAGTGGACTCTTTGAGTTAATGTAATAAGAAGTAGGAGAAGTAATGTCATTACTTTAGCCTCCAGGACAGCAAGTCAAATTATTTCCTGTAGAACATTTTTGAAGTCTTAGGTTTTTATTTGCCTTAATGTCTTTAGCCCAAGTTATCAAAATCCAAAAATTTATCTGTTAATAGAATTGTGACTTTTTGCTTTTAAATAGAGTATCTTGGCTTAAACTTACTATTAAGTCTTGGTTTTCAAAATCAACAGATATTCCAGGTCTCATATTGCTTTTTACCACTATTTTACAACCTGCCTCTCTGCTAATGGCACTTCAGAAATTACCATACATGATCATAGGTTGGGAAAGAAAAGCTAGACAAAAGTGCATACTGCTAGCTGGAAAGAGGAATCCCTCCATGAATTCCTTACTGAAAAATCTATGCAATCTGGGTTGCAGGTGGAAGTCAAGGTGGCTAATACAGTGATATTAAAATTTCTCTAGAAAAAATAAACACCCAAGGAGTGAGAAAAGAGAATTTCTAGGTGTTATATGGACTAATAATTAAGACAGTTTTACTCTAGAGAATTCCAACTCAGTGTAAGAGAATAGTCTTGAAACAGATTCAAATACTCATGGAAAGCAGCATGTGATAAAAGTGGCTTTTATAATCATGGAATGAAAAATAATTCCATAAATGGTGTTGGTACCATGGACAAGATCCTGGAGGAAGCAGATATAAATGGATGCCAATTTTTCTCTTTTAGTCAATAACAACTAGGATAGATTTAAATCCTTAAAATAAAAATGATAATTTTTCAGTGAGGGAAGGTCCATTCAGCATGATATCAAAGGGCCAGATTCCTTCCTTTACAAAGTCATTCTACCATCATTAAAAAGAACTCAGCCAATAGAAAAATGGGCAAATAACATGACCAGGTGATTCACAGTAAAATAAATTCAGGGGGCTTGTAAACATGAAAAGGTGGTCAGCTTTTACCACCAGAAAAGTAAGCAAATCAAAACAATTGCTTGTCACTTTTTATTGTAAAAAAATGTATTAAACTTGCTAATACCCAGAGTTGGTAAATTGATGAAAAGCAGCACGTTCATGAGAATTTTAACTCATACATACTTTTAGAGAAAATTTGCAATCTCAATCAAATTTTTAAGTCTATATATCCACTGCTAGTGATTTCCTTAAAGGTTTACTCACCAGTTTGCCTCTGCATATTCAAACACATTAGCTGCTCTCGCAGAGTGGAAACAATATAAACTGTCATCAATGGAGGCCTGGTTAAAATCTGTTAAAAGTGCGCAAATATTTTAAAATGAGGGCAATCTGTATGTTGATAGGGAGAGATGTAAAAATTCCATTTAAATGAGGAAAAATCAAGGTCCCAAACAGTATTATGATAGGGTGCACAGGGAGCAGGACCTCAGGTAGATGGAGAGAGAAAAACATAGGCTTTTTACTTTTAAACTTCACTCCTCTATGGATATGTTTACCATAGAGATGTTCATTTATTTTTAAAAACCTCAAACTGGTTTCTCTTAACTGCAGTGGTTAATCTTGTCAACTTGATTGGACTGAGAGACACCTAGGAGATCAGTAGTGAAGGACACCTCTGGGTTAGATCAGGAAGGCTCTGACCTAATCTGTGGTTTGATCCATTGGTTGATTCAAAACTTGAATAGACTCATCAGAGGTGGTGGAACTGTGGAAGGTGGGACCTAGATGGAGGAAGTGGGTCCCTGGGGGCATTCCTTTCAAGGGTATATCTTGACTCCGCCCTTCCTGTCACCTGTCTCTGCTTCCTGGCTGGCTTGAGGTGAGTGCTATGCTCTACCATGGCTTCCCACCATGATGTTTTGCCTCACCACAAGCCCTATCTAATGGAGCCAGCCTACATGGGCCTGAAACCTCTGAAACTGTGAGTCAAAATTTATTTCCTCTTTTTAAATTCTTTTTCTTGCATATTTGTCACAGCAGTGACAAACTGACCTTCATACTCACCATGTTATAAAAGGGAGCTTAATCAATTCTCAAAATCAGTTTCAGAATATATGAACTATTTCCTAGCAGGAAGGAGGGGGAGCTAACCCAGGACAATTAAGAGGACACTAGTAATTTTCATACGTTTCATATAATTATTACCATCATGAAGATGTTTTGTATATGACTTTGTAATTTCCATGTGTTGGACACCGCCTTGGAGAACATAGTGTTGAAGATACATCTGATGGTCATGATCTTTCATCAAAAAATGTAATTCCTCAAATGAAGAAAATACCACCCCAGTCATAGGTTCATAATGTAGATTATTCATTTATATATCAAGTATTTGTGTAACACTTTCTATAAGTGCTGTCGTGCTTCACAAATATTAATTCATTCATACCTGACAACTTTGTGCTATAAGTAGGTGCTGTTATGGTCCCCATTTTACAGATGAGGAAACTAAACTTCCGAGAGTCTCGATAACTTGTCACAGGTCACACCATTCAAAAGACTCTTTAGCCATTGCTTTGGGTTTAGGCTTAACTCGTGGATATTAATGCAATTCAATTCATGTTTGTGCTATTTATTTAGTGATATTTTTGTGCCAGATACCTGTCAGGGATAAGGCTTGAATAAACAAGGAACTTGACTATGTTAAACATCTTTCTAGAAATTCTGCTAATCTCATTCTTTTTCTAAGAATGTCTTCCAAGAAAAGAGTGCCCCAGGGATTCTAGAAGTTGTAGGACACCTTGCAAAGAGGCATAGTCTGCTGGAGCTTAGTGGAAGGAGGGGATGATTTTAGACAGTGATCTTCAGTGGCTGTCGGGTAGTGGGAAAGACCTTCCACGTTTGTTCTCCTGCTCATTCCAGACTAAAACCTTTGTGAGCCCTGCTCTCCAGTCGTCATGGTGCCATACTGGACCTATTCAGGCTGTAATCAGCGTACCTTAGGCAACTACATTTTGGCTTATTCTCAGTATGCATTTTCACTGCTTTTATTAATTTTAAATTGCTTGGGATAACCATGGCTTGCCTGGTTGATTTTGCCCAGTTACATGGAATGTGAATCCAGAAGACAGAAATTTGTTTCAATTTTGGATGAGGAAATAGGCTCTGATGATTTGAAAGATGAATTTACCTGGAGCCTAGATTTTCTTCAGTTTGAGGGATTTCTGAGGGGTCTTATGAGTGACACCATTGGTGTCCAGCTCAGTTGTAAGTTTTTATCTTTCTGTGAATAACAAAATTTCCCATCTTGCCTTTAGTGGTGGTGAGGCTGGGTGCACCATGAGGATATATCTGTCTGAGACTTTTTGTTCATGCAAGAGAAAATTCAGTTCTGAGACACCAGTCACATCTAGCTCTCTACCTATTCACTAGCACAACCCACTGCTGCCAGCCAGTGGAACCAGGCAGGTGTTTGGGGTTTTGTACAAGCTCACAGGAAGTTAGTTGTCTCTGAGAACTCATAGATGGGAAGCCTCATTACTGAGATTAACCTTACAATTTTAGGGTCAAAACACCCTCTTTTAATTGGCTTCTTAATAATCCATGTGCATCAGTTTCCTTAAAAAGCTAACAACTTACTTTCAAATACTGAAATTAAAAAATTAAAGCTGACAAAATCTAAAATGTAACTGATCACTTATCATGGTGTTCTTTCAAAGCAAGGGTGGGTTGTACCAGCCAGCCAGCAAGAAAAGAGCATGGGGCAGGAGGTGCCAGATTATCTTCTGCAATTTATTTAATCCTCAAAAGAGAATCCTTTCTTTGTGGTAGTCTCTCTAGCAGTTCCTTTTCAAAGGGTAAAATCTATATTCTAGCTGAAGTCTGTACTCTCTCTTAAGATAGTTTTCCTTACTTGTGTCCTGTTTGATGGGTGTCACCCTGCTGGTCTAGGGAACAATTCACTAGTAGGGAGTTCACTCCAGCTTCTGTTTCTTACAGTAGGTGGCGCTGTAGCTGCAGTTACACACTACATGATTCACACAGGGATTTCTCTTTCCTGGATTCTGGTGTTCTGAGTCTGAGAATCTAGTTAAACCAGTACTGTCCTGATAGAATTTGAGCCTCCTCTATAAGAATGTAGGAGGAGAATGTGAAAAATTATCTAAATTCCAGAGTAAAGAGATGATTGTAGCTAGACAGCCTGGGAAAGACTGAACATAGATAAGGAAATTTTTCTCCCAAGGCTGAATCTCCAGGGCAGCTCTGTAAACCCACAGGGCCAGCTGCCCCTCTCAGACCCCTGGAGGAGACACTCAGAGAGGGCCTGAGACCTGTGGATTTTGGAGGGGAGAGGCTTTTTAGGTGATCCAGAAAATGAGTACATGTCCCAGGAAGTTAACTGAAGAGGTAATTATTCTCACTCATTTTACCTGACCTCCCCCATTCTCTTCCTCTAATTCTGTCTTTGTCTCTCCATCATACCCTCCCTCTTTTGGCCAAGATTAAGTCTCATAAAGATCTAAAAGCCAGCATAATGATTAACCCCAGAACCAATCAGTTCAGGGGACAGATGAGGAGGAAAAGCTTGAGCATATCAAATACTGAGAATTAATACCTGCTGTTCCCAATTTTTATAGAACCAAGGGCCATCCTTTCTCATTACTCAAATTCTCTGAAAGAAGTGTACTGTCTTGCAGAATTGTTTCTTCTGTCTCCTTGTCTCCTCTCTAGCTTTCATTACCAAGTTTAGGCTGAGTCTGAAAAGAAAGGTGAACAAAAGGTAGCTCACTTTCCCAGGCAGAAGGATCATTTGACAACGGGATGACTGACACCAAAAGGCAGTGATGTTCACATTTCTCCGCTATAGCCTGTGCTGTCTGGACCAAGTCAGTTAGTGAAGGATGAAGCTGGGAAATCAGAACCAAAATCCCATAGGAAATGTTCCCTTTATTCTTTTTGAATGTGGTATTTTATTGAGTCTAAATAATCAAATCTTCATGACTTTATCTTTTCATCAGGGTCATAAAACTGCTGTTGAACCACTGTGGAATGCCTTCTTCAAATGCATAGTTATCATAAAAAAGTGAGGGCGAGAAGTGAGATACAGGATATTGCCAGGAATGATTGGTTAGATGGCTAACAGATATGAAAAGGAGAAACATTTTGTTTGGTAATTTAGTCCCATCCCATGGTCTCATCTTCAGCTTTACCAGTTTAGAAGCTAAAAGTTAATCATTCTCTTGGGGAAAAACTCAAATTAGCCATGAGTCTGGTGTATGAGTCAGAATCCCATATACTACTCATTAAGAGGTCATGTAGCAGGTTGACACATTCTGTCTATGGAAGGAGAAGGTAAAAAGTTTGAATCTGCGTTAGTCGAGTGAGTCAGCATGCCTGGAACCGTTTAAGAAGGCGTGTTGGAGGAAGGGCTGTGAGTTTAGTCTCTGAAGGATGAGTAGGACTGGAATAAGAGTGAGAAAGTATACTGAACAATATGAAGAATGTGCAAGTAGAGACATGGGCTGAGGAACGGTTTCCTTGGAGGAGGGATGGGTGTAGGGTGGGGCTCAGAGCTGGGAAAAAACAACTTAAAGAGCTGAGTGGGGCTGAATTTGCAGGCCTGAAATGGGCAGTTGGTCTTGGCTTTAGTGGCTATTCAACACTGGATGCTCTGAGCCAGTGACTCCACCCACTGTGATTTTGCCCTCAGGAGATCTTTGGCATCTAGAGACACTTTTTTGTTGTCTCTGTGGCATGGGCTGTTACCAGCATCTAGAGGGTTGAGGTAAAAGAATCCTTCTAAAAATCTGCAATGCATATGACACCCCCACTTTCACCCCAAGGAATTACCCAAGCACAAACACCAACAATGCTGAGGCTGTGAGTCTGCCCCAGAAGCACTTTATGGAAACTTTCTCTGCATTTGACACCAGCGGCCATAATTGTTTCTGGTTGCCTTTATATTTTAGGATTTAACCAATGAGCTTCTGTTTCCTCCTCCTCTCCCCACTCTGTCACTCTTTATCCTCAATGATGAAGAAGAAATAAATGTCATCATCCTGATCTGTGCATGCTAGGTGCCAGGAGAGGAGGTGTTACTCTGTCTACTTCTTTCTGGCTTGATCTATAGATTCTTTTTTTCTCCTTTTCCTTTATCACGCTAGTGGATTAAATCTACTTCTGTGCCCTTTAATATGATCATAATACCTGATTATCACAGGTATTTGGGAGCCAAAATGCTAATGAAGTATTTTTCATTTTCTCCAAAGTGAGACAGAAGGTGCAGAGATCACAGTATGGAGCTTTGATTAAAAGACTGGGATGTGGTTTCATCACAATGACAAAGATTTAAGCAGAAAGAGAAGAGCCTACTCCTTTCCAGAGTGAGGATCAGTCAGAACTAGAGCGAGAGCCCGGGTCTGCGGGTGTGAAGTGAGTGACCTCTCTCAGAAGTGGCTCCCCTCTTTTCCAGTGCTACATGTTCCACATGTATGTGGGCGTGCGTGCCGGAGGGGGCATCGGGGATGAGATTGAAGACCCGGCGGGAGACGAATATGAGATTTACCGAATTATCTTTGACATCACCTTCTTCTTCTTTGTGATTGTCATCCTCTTGGCTATCATACAAGGTAAAGCTCTCTGGGGCTCAAGTACACCTTGAACTCCAGATACCTGGTGTTGGAGCCAGCATTCCACGTGGGATAAGGATGTCCTGGGATCCTGTGGGCCCAAAAATAATTTCTCCTTCCAATATTTCTTCCTTGTAAATCCATAGATAAAGAAGCATAGGACCCTGGAATGGGGGTCCATGAATATGTTTTTCTTCAGTCTCCATTTTATGGAAAGAGCATTCCTCAAGCTTTGAGAGTTTTTTGGAGGGGGATTGTGGGGAGAGGTTCATGAGCCATTTAACCTGGTGATTCTGTCACATAGAGGTTATATAAATCTCTAAGGACTGTGGTTGTTGAGAGATTTTAGGCCCTCAGTATAGTACCTGAAAGTAATTCATGCAACATGAACAATCATAGCACTGTCATTATTGAGTGCCTACCATGTGCCAGGTAACGATGTGAAATAAGTAAGCCATGGCAGGTCAAAGTAACTGAGCTGAAGTGCACAGCTGCGCAGAGTTGCCTGGACTCTGGATCTAGTCTGGTCCAGGTAATGTGGATTTACCCACCAACTCTTCCTTTTACTCCAGGCTAACTTGGAATGTAGTCTTTCTCCCAGAAAAACCACTCAGGTTATTTTTTTTTTCTGTTTAACACATTTATCCTAGTTTGAATTAGATGTCTAAAAATGTGACATTATCCTTTAGGTTCCACAGGCATAAACCTACTTTTTGGTAAGGTACATGGATAGATTTAAAGGATTCCTAATCCACTTGTTATGTCTTCATGGAGTGTAACAATAATGTATTTTACAAGAGGGCAAAGTCTTAAAGCACTTGGAAGAAAGGGTGCAGATGGAAAGTGACAGGAGGCAAAATAGTCTGAACAAAAGAACTCAATGTTGTTTCTGGTTGCCACACTTGATAAAATTATGTGGTTTATGAGAACCTTGTGGGAAAAGTGAGTTGAGGCAAATTCTCAATTTATATGGTAATGTTTCATTTCCAAATTGAACTTGAAAATTGTTTTGGTGGACTTTTTTTTTTTTTTTGTGCTTTACAACCATAAAGCTCAGTTTCTCTTTTTCAGCATGAAGTGAAGTAAACAGAAACATACCACCCATATATGCCAAGTTGACTAATGGTCTTTCTTGCTGTATCATCTCATTTTAAAATGCTTTTCTTAGTGAGTATTTGCCCCAGTAACTGCCTGGACTTCTTCCCCCAGAGAGAGTCACTTCCCTGTCAGAGGATCAGAGGTGACCTCACATTTTTACCATGTTTTGAGTAGCTCCAAATGTAGTTATGTATTTTCCCTTTCCTTGGAAGGAATCGCCAAGGGGATATGAATTCAATTATTCTCTGGCTGTAAAGATGATATGTGTGTCTGTTTAACTCTAGGTTTAATTATTGATGCTTTTGGAGAACTAAGAGACCAACAGGAGCAAGTCAAGGAAGATATGGAGGTGAGCCTCTTTCCGTGACTCAGTTGTGTTACATTGTGGGTATCTGGTTGCCACACTGCCTTTATCAAGAAAATCATGCATGTGTGAGAAAGGGGACAAGGACATAAACACTGTGGCTACCTTGGCCTGTTTTCCATTTAGATAATACCCATGCTTGATCTGTGGGCTAGGCTACAACTGTCATGGACTCCAAGTGTATTCATATAACAATATGGTACCACCTTATCCATTGAGAGTGGGGAGACCAAACTGTAGGTTCACCAACAGATAAGGCAGTATGTTGGACCATTGATGGGAGGTGGCCCTCAGTGCTGGCATCTCTGGGACTGGTACCTGGTCACTCCCATATGATAGGGGAACTTTTTACAGAGTGATGCTATGATGAGGCCTGAAGACTGTTAAGGGGTGGATTGGAGCAGGAGAAAGCAGGACTGTTAGACAATCTCCCTTGTCCCTGCTCCCCTAGCCTATGCTAAGTTACCATTCCCATTGGATTCTGTGACAATGTCACCATCTGATAACATCATATTACCAAGGTCCTGGTTTCAGGGAATTGACATGCAATTCTTTTCTTAGATGGATGCTTAAGTGGATCAGGATGAAGCATTAAATTTTAGTGGGGGCTAGTGAATGAAGAATCTAAGTCATTTGAAAGATTTATAACAATGTACAGGCCTTGGAAAACAAGACAGGATTTTAATCAGGGCAACAAGGTGATGAGATTTGCACTTTACAAAGATAACTATGGGTTACAATATGAGAAAAGAACTAGCAACGAAGTGGGCCAGCACCAGGTAAGTGGGCTGTCAGCATCCTCCAGGTAGAGATCATGAGGGTTTGCCACAAAAGTGCAACAGAGCACTCAGGAACAAAATGGATGCAAGATGTGTTTGGAAGGTGGAATGAAAAGAACGTGGTGATTGGCCAAATGCAGGGGTCATGAGGATGAAGCAAGCTGAGGAGATGCTCAGTCTTCAGGTATGAGCTATCATATAAGTGCACGGTGGTTCAGTTAACTGACCCAGGTTACCATGGTGGCTCAGTTAACTGACCCGGGTTACCAGATGAAAGCAGGTTCATGAGTACAACTAATGAGCGGGGTTGAGACCTGTTTAAGAGATATGCAATGGAGTGTTAGAAAGATTTGAGTGTTCTCTCAGGTTGTTGGATGTGGTCTGAATGCTACTAGGCAGGGAGAATTCGTAAGTTATCAGAATCATCTCCAGCCTGGGCTCTCACATCCAGTGCATCATAAACATGCTTCAAATGGAACTAAACAGCTTCTAATTGGCAGAAACTGAGGCATATCTGAGTCCCAGGGAGTCAGTGATCACTGAATCCGTTTGAGTGGATGTCATTCTAACTCTGAGACTCTAACATGGTCTCATGGGATGGACCATCTGCTTCTCTGGGTTGTGAACCATCTGCCGGCAGATGGCAGACCTAAGCAGGTGCCATACTGTAATCTCCATGTAGAGAGGTGTGGTCCAGAGGAAGGGGAAGCAAAGAGACCAGGCATTTATTCCTGGACACATCTATTGGCTAATTCTATGCCTAGCAGAGCACCAGGCCATGGCAAACCCTCTGTGAATGGGTGATGTGACTCCTCATAGCTTGGCATTTGATTTGGCCTTCCCCAAAGGGAAGCAATTTGTACCTTTTGCCCTTTGATTGCCAGACTTTCTTTGTAGGTTTCAAGTCTGCAGTTTTAATTGAAAACAGTGTCAGTAGATAACTTCACTCAGTCTCATAACTAAGTGTGATTGCTGAACCCCCAGCATTTGTATGTAGGCTGCGAAAAATAAGGAAAAGACAATGCTGTGCGTTCCTTGTGTTTTGCTCTGACATTGACATATTTCTCTTTGTCTTCTAGACCAAGTGCTTCATCTGTGGGATAGGCAATGATTACTTCGACACAGTGCCACATGGCTTTGAAACACACACGTTACAGGAGCACAACTTGGCCAATTACCTGTGAGTGGGCCTTTCAGACTCCCCCACCTCCCCCAGGAACCCCCATTCCCTCTCTCTCAGGAAGAAGAGAACAGGACAGACACAAGTTCCTTATGCTTCACAGCTGCTCAGATGCTCTGAGAGAAAGGCGATAGCTAGTGGACTTTTCCCCTGGAGAGGCTGGCTTCAGAAGTGAAGCTGTTGCTCTTCGGGAGACGATGCACTCTGGAAGGTGGAGTGGAAGAGAGTCAGGAGCAGAGAATCTCAGGGAGTTCTGGCCCCATTCCTATTTCAGACAGGAAGCCTCTGGCTTCTCCCCTGAGATACGTGGCTCTTCCTTGTTTTCTGTTTTTCCCCTTGAGGACTTACAGGCCTCTTTAGGCACTATTGGAAACTCAGTTAAAAATTGCTTTTGTTATATTTGACACATGGTAAGAACCTTTGTAAATGCCACAGTATACCTCCACCCAGCACAGCAATACAAAAAATTGCTTTTTTTTTCAAATACATGGAAACCTGGCCATTACTTGGGACTAACCCAAACTATGCTTTGGGAAAATGCTATTCTTAGTTTCTGATGCAATTTTGATACCAAATAAATAGGCAAAAGATGCAGAGAACTATTGTAAGAAAAAAAGTACTTGAACTGTATTCAACTGAACTGATTGGTAAATTGGAACATTTTATGAAGCTAGTCATCCACTGAAATTCACTCATGTTGATTTGATTCTGTGTATATATTCTTAACCTGCAGCCAGTGTGCCTCTATGGTAAAATTGAGTATCATATCAGAAAAGTCACATGAAAACCATCCTTAACTCTTTCCAGTACTGCAAATATTTTTCCACAAAGTATTTGAGGCAGTTTCTGTGAGCCTACCATAATTGAATGCAACATATGAAACATAAAAATATTTTCTATCTGTTTTTTCTGCTCTTTTCATACAGTCCACTCTGTCTCTATATTTGTAGGTTTTTCCTGATGTATCTCATAAACAAAGATGAAACAGAACACACGGGACAGGTAGGTAAATGGTGACTAGACGCTATCTTCAGAAAGGAGTTATAGAAAGAGAAGCCATACACACTGGAATGAAGTGTGTACATTAAGGAGTCAGGAGGAATTACTTTCAGATGTTAATTGTGGTACCCTGATATAAAGCCCCTCTTCTCCTAGGTGAGTGTGGAAGATGCTGTCTTCTTTGAAACACTAAGATTCTAATTTCACATTTAAAAATAGACTTTCATTAACTGAAAATGCTGCGTATTCATTTTGAATCCCCTGTTATAAGAACATTGAGTGTTCCTAATTATGATGTCCTTGATTGCTTAATCAGATGGCTGATGATTACAGTGTTATGGTCAGTTGAAAATGACTAAATATTAAATGTGTATGGTTTTAAGCTATTCAGAATTTCCCTTTCAGGAGTGCATACCACAAATGGTGGAAGAAGGACATGACTAATAATGGTAGTTCAAGAGAACCTAAAAAATACATAGAGCAACTCTATTTTCTCATTATTATATTTTGGTCAAGATCGAATATCAGTTGTTAACTTGTTTATTGCTAGGAGTAACTGAGGTTTAGTATGTAGTCAGTTTGGAACTATCTGAATAAATTTGGGTTTTTTCAGTTGCGTGTGATTCAGTTGCAAGTTGAGTCTCTTTCTCTGTTTTATCTTGCGTGAGTACATAGGTTTGGGGCAATGTTGATACATTTCCTTTGCTTTTACAGGAATCTTATGTCTGGAAGATGTATCAGGAGAGGTGCTGGGAGTTCTTTCCAGCAGGAGATTGTTTCCGGAAGCAGTATGAAGACCAGCTAAATTAAAATCCTGCCTGATCACCTCTAAACACCAAAAGTATCTCCCTGTCCCTCTCTCTCTCTCCATTTCCTGGGGTTCCCCTCTCTCAGACTCTCTGCTCTCTTGGAACGTCTTGCTGATTTTGTGAATTGCCAGAGTTCTGTGCTTTCTGAGAGCATCGAAGCTGGATCTCTGAAGACCTGACTGTTCTCCCCCCACCTCTGTATTTTCTTTGAGAAATAAAAACTGAAGAAGAATCTAAATCCATACACAGACAGAGTAAACTCTGGAAAGAAAACTCTCTACCATACTGCACCCAGGCAGTTTCTCCTGAAGGTCCTGGTTGGCTCCCGGAGCTGCAGGACCTGCACAGCCAAGCGTGGCAACCACACTCACCCGGCCTCTTTATTTCACCATCCCAAAGGAGCTGTCTAAGAGTCACTGAGCACTGTAGCACTTAACAGATTGCCGTGGACACCAGTTGTGAAGGGAACTAGTGCCTTACTCTATGTGGGTTGAGCTATGCAGAAGATATGTGCATGAACAAAACACCTTTATTTTCTTTATGGCGACCCTTTTTTTCCTAGTTAGATTGATTTTGTGAGTTTTTTTCTTTATTCTTTTCTTTGGTGGGGGAGGGTAAGAAAAGCCGATTGTTTGCACCTTTTTAAAAGAGATGGGTGGTGTGTCTCAGGATGGAAGGAGGCTCTTCTCATTCAGCTACTTCATATTTGCCCTCGCCATCTCTCCTGCTCTTATTTTGGTAACGCTGATGCAACATTGCAACTTTATGAAATCTTTGTATGAAAACAAAAGACTGCAAAAAATACACTTTCAAAAGAAATAAATTCATTGCATGTTTATTATGCAAGTTTAAACAAACACAGAAACCCTCCAGAAGCAAGTTGATCAACCTGAGAGGACTTCCGTGATAATTCTATTCATAGTAATACAGTGTCGTGGGCTTATGTGTCTATTTGGAGCCAATGTCAACCACCAACAATGTGATATATTATGAACTTGACAGTAGTCTTGGGTTTTTCTCTTTCTTTAAGCCACCTGTGATCAGTTGTTGGTTAAGGACTCCTTGTCAGGCCATTTTTTGATATCAATGCTGAAGCAATATCCATTCAGGGATTTCATCAGTTGCATCACGAAACATGGATGGTAATATCAATTGCTCCATTTCTTTTCCATTTTGAGTCCTTTTAAATGTAATACTAACCTGTACAATTAAAGACAGATTCGGAATGGAAGGGAGGTCACTTTGCAAACATTGGGGCTCTTTTATTACAGTCTGCTTGTTAATTTTAGAATTGTAAAACTGCTCTGATTAAACTATTTAACTAACTTTCTCACCCTCCTTTTTTTCTCCATTTCTCTTATAATTGGGACTCATAAAACCATGAGCTTTTAACTTGAGGTGGGTAGAGGACTGTCCCAAACCCTGTGCTGAGAATGTTCCCACAGTGGGACATGCAGAGTTATGCAAATTTGGAGCATTTGTGACTTTTGAACCTCAGTTTCATCAGGCAATTGGCCCCACTCCTGTTATTTCAGTGCTACAGGGGTGAGGGTAATTCCATGACAGAAAAACTCCTTGTTCATCCAGTTAATTTGTATCCATCTCTCATTTTACAAAGCTCTTCCTTGCTCGGAGCATTTTCCCCTCTATAATGATAGGAGCCCATTTTCTATCTCAGTGTGAAAGAGAAGTGTCCAAAGTGTGAAACTTTCAAATACCATCTGAGTACATGCTGCCTGCCAAGAATTCTGGTGGGTACCCGTGACATGTCACCTGTCATTTTATACCTTGTTGGCACAGCATCTGAGCAGTTGCACCTGGATTTTGTATTTACCTTTTGATATTACTTTTATCTGAGGAAAGAAATAAATTTGGCTCTACCACAGGAATAACTTCCAAGCCTGCTCAGATTGGTGATCGTATGCTCTGAGGAATCTGAGCAAAATAAATCAGGTCAGCTCCAAAAAACATGAAAGAGCACATTGCCTTTCCTCACAAAATGCTACAGAAGAAGCAACCAGTGGAGAATACTTTTTGTGGGACAAAAAGTCCACCTATAGATTCAGGGCTTCTATTTACAATGCCCAAACCAGAGTTGACACAAAGCAACAGTACAGGTGAGATGCAAGGGAATAAATTTGTAGTTACCTGTAGATTTTTCAAATTCTTGTTCAATCTCTCCGTGGATAGCTCCCTGCTTTGAAGTCCTGGGAGGTGGACAGAAGTACTCAGGAAGAAGGAGAGAGGTTGGAATCTGGAGTCAGGAAAGGAGGTGTCTCTTAGCTACTGGGCTTTGTGTGCACATGAGTATTGGAGGAAAAATAAAGGATTGGGCTGGTCACTTGAGCAAGCCACATGCTTCCCAGCCTCATCTCTGGCCAGCAGTAAGGGCAGGACACCTCTTGCTTCACTTCCCAAGGCAGCCTCAGGAAAGAGGGAGCTGGTCTTTATCAATATTATTAATGCCCAGGAAATGTCCCAAAGATCCCCAAACACAGTATGGATCTCCACTTCTCTGATTCAACTCTGGTTGCCTGACTCAAACTCAAGAAATGTAATCCTCTTAGAAATTTTATATTGCACCAATATAAAAACATTCACAAAGAATATTATCCTGGACCACATGTATCCTTATCTCAGCTTCAATATTTACAGACATCATCCTGCTCTTCTAAGTTCCTAGATTCCTCTCATTTTTTTTCTTGGAAAGAGCTTTTGAATCTACTCCATAGAGTAAGTTGAAATCCATGGTTTAAGTCAAAGTTTTCTAAATGCACCCTTGTCATGAGTGTCTTTAAGGGTGTTCTTTGGATGGATGATCGTATTTTTCATGGGCAGGAGGCCATCTGTTTTCAGCCCTGCCCCCCCATTAAAAATCCACATTGCAATGAAAATACATTAGGTCTGACTATAAAAGTTATACCAAGGAAATTGAACATTTATTTTTTACTCTCTTGCTTTCTTGGGGGAACTGTTTATATTTTTCTTATGCTCCCATTTTCTGGGTGAATATACAAATACGGGTCTCCACATGGCAGTCAGTTGTGAGTACCTTACTGTGGACATAGTGAAAGAGAAACATTTTAATATTCCTCACTCTACCCAAGCATAGAATTCAAGTGAACTTGTTATGGCAAAGGATTAGACAGTTAGATGTTTCCCCAGATTATTTCATAAATGACCATTATGAAATAATGACCTCATTGTCACCTTCCTGATGACATTTCTGCTCAGAGCTCTGCATATCTGTGGTGGAAGCCCGGATACCTGAGCATGGATGGTCCTTGGTCTCTGAATGGCTGTAAACACTAATATCATACCTCCTTAAAAGAACAACATTCAGTACCATTATCTGAAGTTATACCACAGTGGTGCAATTAATGCAAGCATAAAACAGGTAGCCAAGTCAATCTTGAAATTTCATGTTCCCTTTGTGAAATATACTCACCTACCCAGACTCAAAGAATGGATTCAGAGACACGTGGAGTGCAGTGTAAATGAGACTTCAATGGTGATCTTGTAAGATTAGGTGCCTGGTTCACAGAGACAGCAGAAACAGTTAAAACAAATGTTATATTGTCTAGTGCACAAGTCCCTCCCCAGTTCCTCATTGGCTGAGTACTGCTGGAGTACATTCTTCCCCCTCCCCAAAGACGTAGCCTAGGTTTCCTATTGGGTTATTTAAAATATGCCTCTCTTGAGATTGGTCAAATTCTAGAGTTGGGCTTTAGGTGGTATCTGCCTTTCTTTGTAGCAGGAAGATCTCCCGATGATACATGCTTTCTGGCACATACACAGTTTTACCCATTTCCTCATTCTATTGTGATTTACCCCTCCCAGTTTAAGTTCCTCATAAGTTGGACTTTCCCCCAACATCAGTATGCTGATACACAAGCAAGTGGCCAGAGTTTCATGCCTTGCCTTGAAAATGGGCCACAACTGTCTTTATCTCTATCCTCCCCCAAATCAGAGGTTTTTAAATAACGTCACCACTCAGAACAGAAACCAGAGGTGGTAATGCTAATTTGCTCATAGGGATGACATTCCAGGACGCCCAGGATTGTAGCGTGGGAAGGATGTGAGCAGCCACATGTGATTCAGAGGGAGGATCCAGGTAGGTTACCTGGAGAGACTGAAGTCACCGCTGAGTGTTGTCAAAGAAGTCAGGTTTGTTGTTTATCTTCTTTCTGTTGCAATTGGAGTGGAGTGAAAAACACCAAGCTCTTTGCTACCAAGCTGACTTAACGTAGGAAAACAGAGATGGAAGATTTTGGCAAAAAATCATTGGTGCTCACTGATAATGAGGGGATGATTCTGGGGTGATTAAATACATGACTGACCTCTAAAAGCACCACTGAACATGGCTACTACTGAAGAAATAAAGCAAGTGTCGGTTTTAGTCGAAGACAAAAAGGAAAACCTTGACATTTTGCTTCAGTATCTAGCTAATGTCTATACGGTTTTCATCTGTCTATAAGTTACTTTTTCATGGCTAAAAAGGTCCAGTTCCAGTTGTAATATTCATTGTGATTAGAATAATTAATGACTCTGGACATTATTAGCATCAGAAGCTCAAAGACTCCCTTGGGTTAGGGTGTCAGTGGCTTAGTGTTTGTCGGGGAGGAAAATACTCGCCCTTTATCCTGTTAGTGTAGTCGTCAGAGGCATGTAAATTAAAGGAAAAGCAACAACTTAGTTTCAAAAATAAAACAGATCTGTATTCACTCACATACCTGGAACTTTACAAAAAGTTGTAACTCAAGAAGTTTGTAAGAAGCTGTAAATTAAAAACCTGCTTAACACCGGGGGTGGGGAGATGAGCACAACTGATGTCCTGGACCTCCAAGGGAAAGGGGCTTGGGGAAAACAAATGACTTTTTAGAAAGACAAACATGCCCTTAGGAGACTGGATGGGAGGTGGTTTTGTGAGTGTTTGGGCAGGTGCTGTCTCCTGTCTCCAAAAAGAGATTAGAGTTGCTCTCGGGTAATTTAGGACTATCAAGTTCTTTGGGGAGGCTCCACCTTCAGGCAGATAAGAGATTTCAGGAACTCAACTGCCTTTATTTTATCTCAAAATAATTTGCAGCCACAGTGGCTTATGCTAGGTGCCATCACCTATCAGCCTTCACACTCCCATGTGCATTCCAGTCCCTTTCATGCATCATGAATTTCATGTTTATTTTCTTCCAAGAATTCTGTGACCTTGATATATGTG